TTCAGGATTCCTGATCCTCTCTTAATTCCTTTCCAGCTGCTAGACTCCCAACCCAGCTTACTGAGCCTTTAGCCAATAGTCACTGTTCAGGTCCAAGTCCCTCCTGGAACCTTGGAGCTGGGTGATTGTGCCAGAACCCAGGAAATGCCCAGGGTGCTTGCCAAAAGGTTACTGGAGTGAGAATGAGTTTAGGGGTCAGATCTGTGAACTGAGGTCTGTGCTGGAATGAGCCCCCTAGGTGTATGTGACTACCATGGATGGTTTTAGACTGCTTGAAATTGAGAATGTGCTAGAAGCATCTGCTAAAGTGGAAGTGGAAGTCTGGAGGCCAAAGGGCCCCCAAATGGGAGATTCCCATAGACACTTTCACTAGTGTCATCTCATTTAAATTCTCAAAAAGTCAGATACGAGGGCAACCTGTCTGTGACATCTATCGCCCCATTGATCGCCAGGGTTGATTCCACTGATCTGGCTGTCTAGGCGGGTGTCCCCTTCTTTCCTTACTGATCCATGTGCATCCCTCCTGAAGCTGTGTACTTGGTCCAAGAGGATGACCTTCCTGACTAGAGGAGAGGATCAGTCTTCGGTCAAGGGCATATGAGTAGCTGCGCTCCCCTCCTAGAACCTCCAAGCAAGCTCTCAAGGTCCATTTGTAGGGAAAAAGAAATTCTCAAAAAGTGAACAATATGTTTTCTATTCATATGATTTATCTTTAAAAATTATTTATGCTATTATAGATGTCCCAATTTTGCCCCTTCCCTGCCCTCCACCCAGACTACTCCCACTTTCTTAGTCAATTCCCACACTGTTGTCTACATCCATGGATCCTTCGTATATTTATTTAACTAATTTCTTCAAATATTCATCCTTTTTGGTGTACAGTTCTTCGTTCTGCAAATGTATAAAGCCACGTAACCACCACCACAAACAAGATACAAAACATTCCTGTCATTCCCCCAATTCTTCTGTCCTGTTCCTTTGTCATAACAGCCTTAAAAAAAACCCAGCATATTTTGGGAGGACAATTTAGCCTTATCTAGCAATATTGAGAAGGCACAGCCCCTTAGATCTGAGAATACTATTGTCAATGGGTAACCTGTGGCTAGATTAGTTACCTTGCATTTTAGTAATCAGTGAGAAATGGCTCAGAAAACTTCCACATGTCATATGAGCACACAAGAAAACCAGCCAGGACTAAACCTGTCATTGTGACTTCTTTTTCTTCCATGAACTGCATTCCAGGACCAATGGTGATGATGATGATGATGATGATGATGATGATGATGAAATAGTAGAAATAAAGTACCAGTAATAATGCATATTTTTGAAGCTATACAAGACATTAGACTCTATTCCAAGTGCTTTTATCTAATTCAACCCTCACAGCAGCTCAAAGGTGGATTATGTCGCATAATAAAGAATGTGTCTAGCCTTTGTCCCTGACTCTTGGGAGGAACCCTCTAAAGCCTTGGGATTTTCTGAGTGATGGCATCTGGGTCCTCAAACTACATCTGAGTTTATGCTAACAAGACCTCTACATGGTGGCTCATAGTTAGTTTCAAGATGGTGGCTGTTCATTCTGGAAAAAAAACTAACCATGTAATTAGGGCTTTTGGGCTTTGAGCCTTGTGATTTCAGCTTGACCTGGAAGGGAAGGGGGACTAGAGATGATGGCCAATGACTCAATCAATCATGCCTATGTAACATATACACACACAGAGACACAGGAAGACTCTAGATACCAAGCCTCTGGGGAACTTCCTGCTGGGGATGCATCTTGACACAGAGCTCTGTGTTTGGGACTCTCCCTGACCTCCCTCTATGCATCTAACTGTAATCATGGGTGGTGCTTTCCTGAGTTCTGTGAGTCACTACAGTGAATTATTGAACCCAAGGAGGTTGTGGAAACTCCTGAATTTGTAGCCAGTTGGTCAGAAGCGTTGGTGGTCTGGGATCTCTGAGCTTGTGGCTGGTTTCTGAAGTGAAGGCAAAGGTAGTGTAGCCTGTGTCCCACTGTCCAGCAGCAGACTGAGGACGTGTGAGTTGAGTGGGCACTGAGGAAGGTAGCTGGGTTTCCAGCCATCTGGAATGTATCTCACCCAAGAAGGTGGCAGGAGGCCGTGTGACATATGCTAGTGATGGAATCAGAGAAGGTGTGTTTGAAATAGAATATTTATGTCTCTGCTTCAGGTTCCTGGCACAAGAGCTCCTGAGGCTCTTATAATTTCCTGAGTGATAGGAATGTCTTTTGTTCTAAAAAGGTGACTCTAAAAGGGTTGGCTCCTTGATGGGGGTTGGTCACCCCCTAAACCAAGCCATGATGAGAAGTTTGGATCCTTCTCCTCTCCAGGAACAGAATAGAAGCTGGAGATGGAGCGAATGATCGATTGTGCCTACACGATGAACTTTCCATGAATATCCCAAACTTTGGGGCTTGGAGAGCATCTGGATTGGTGAACATGTGAAGGTGCTGGGAAGGGTTGTATCTGGTGAGAGCATAGAGGTTCTTCACCCCTGCCCCATACCTTGCCCTCTGCATCTCTTCCATCTGACTGTTCCCAGATAATATCCCTTTATAATAAACCAGTAAATGTAAGTAAGAGCTTCCCTGCATTCTGTGAGCCATTATCAAACCCAAGGAAGGGGTCACTGGAACCTTCAATCTATTGTGGATCAGTCAGAAGCACATATGACAAATGAACTTGTGACTTGTGTCTGAAGTAGGGGCAGTCTTGTGGAACTGAGCCCTTAACTTGTGGGCTCTGACGCTATCTGGGGGTAGACAGTATCAGTCTTCAGGTCATTTGTAGGACACCCACAGGGTGTCAAAAAGTCACTTGATGAGTGGAAAATCCACATGTCTGAGGTCACAGGTGACCTGAAGTGTGGTGGCAGTGTGAGAGTAAAAGAGGAACACACTGGAGGGCTTGTGTCCCCCCTTACAGCAGGAGGGAGGGGCACAACTTTTATGGCAAGAAATAGAGGCATTGAGAAAGTCTCACCAGGCTAAAGTCCTCACACTTTTGCTCTATGAGACAGCCAGTCTTTGGACTCCTGCCTCGAAGAGGGCCCACCAGGGTGACCCAGAGAAGTCGTTTTAGCCAATAAGAGGCCATAGCTGTGGCCACTTAGATCAAGAGTCACTTGTTCCGATATCTGTCCCTCCTCTGAGCCCCAGTATTTTGGGAAACTAGGGCTTGATGTGGGAATGAAGCAAAGGTGTGGCAGGGACAACTGGTCTCCCTGTCTTTGTTTGGGAGTTAGGTCCCAGCCTAAACCCTGCTGGATGGAGAGAGGAGATGATGGGATTTACACCAAGTCTGAGGTGAAGACTTATGATCAGGCTGATTTTAATACTCAGCACTGACTGGAAAGTTACACAATGTCCGAGACAGCACTAGGGGCTAAAAAAAAAAGTTTTAATGATCCACAACTGGATCAGTGATCAGAAATATGGCACAGTTTTATGTTTATATTTCCTGGAGTTGATAGTCTCTGAATAACTAACTGGTTATGGAGAGTATCGCAACACAGAATGTCTGAGCCCGGTCTTCTGACTGCAGGCCTGGTGGTGTTTTATTTATTTGTTTGTTTGTTTGATCTACTCAACATCACCTTTCCCTGAGAGTTCTGAAAAACAACTTCCTTCCTTCCTTCCAAGTCCCAAGTCATTACTGCGCAAGTCAGGACCTTTAGCAGACACATTTCAGAGTTACTGACTCCTTGTCAAACCTGTTGCCCTAGAAACTCAACCTTGTGATCTAGTCATCCCCCAGGTCAGACCAAGGCTGAAGGCTTGCTCTCCTGGAAGGGTTTGGGGGTCAAGGGAGGGAAACAGAGGCTTCTCTAGCATCCCCCCAACTCACAGTTTATGAAAAAGAATTCAGGACCTGCCGCACTCATCTATTTTAGGACCTGTCTGAGTTTGGATTTCACTTCTGCAATTCTGCAGTGTGCCATTAGGCCAGACTCTGTCCCTCTTCAAGGTCCGTTGAGGAAAGGAGGTGGGTTCACTGGGGCGATCTCACTCAGGAGTCGAGTCTGTGACTCCATTACTGGGTGTGTGCTGGCTTCTGAGGGCCAACTTCAGTCCTTGCAGCTCATTCTGTTTGTGATTTTAGTCATTACTCAGAGGCATAGGCACGTTGGAAAGCAATGTGGGCCTTCTCGCCATATCATCAGTCACCCGGTAACTGCCAAATCAGGGCTCCTAGTTCATTAGGGATTGGCAAGCTGGTCTTGGGCCAAACCTGTCCTTAACTTCCTGTGAAAATTAGGTGGGAATGATGTAAGCTTTAAACAACAGTGCCTGGGTAAGCACTCAATATATGCTAGTGTTATAAATATTTTCACAAATAAATAGCTGTGGAACTTGAGAGAGTTTAGCTCCAGTGGATATCATCTCTGAACGTCCTCTCTTATTCTGTTGCTCAGGATACCATGACTCTCAACATCGGCCACACGTCCTTGTTTTGCTTGTGCTTGGGAAACATTAGCCTGTCTGCTCACAGCCTTTTCCTCTCAGTCTAGGTTGACCCCTTTTGAAATGACACATCTTTTTTTCTAAATCTCACCTTGCTCTTCAGTATCTTTTAATTCTTTTTTTAAATTTTTTTATAAAAGATGTTATTTATTTATTTTTAGAGAGAGAGGAAGGACAAAGAGAGGAACAGAAACACCAATGTGTGGTTACTGCTCATACGCGCCCCCTACTGGGGACCTGGCCTGCAACCCAGGCCTGTGCCCTGACTGGGAATCAAACCGCTGACCCTTTAGTTTGCAGCCCATGCTCAATCCACTGAGCTACACCAGCCAGGGCCTCAGCATCTTTTAAATATTTATCTATTTATTTATTTTCCCCTTTGAAGAAAACAATGAAATGTTTATTATCAGGTGATATCATTTGTTTTACATAGAACATTCAAAATAATTTACAGATGAATTATTTAAAACAGGCAAACTTTTCAAGATTCATAAATATAAGGCTAATGTTCAAAATTCAAGTGCATTTTTATATACCAGAATCAACCAAAAAATGACATAGAAAGAAATATATTGTTTTTAATAGAACCCCCAAAATACCAAATACCTCAAGAGAAATGTAATAAAGATATCAATGGCTGCTACATGGAAGATTATAAAGCATTATATATAGAAAAATTTTAAAGGGCAATACATGATAGAAATGACCATGTAAAATATTGACTGAGTTTTACAAAGATGTGCATTATTCCAATGAAATAGCTTCATTTTTAAAATTTATTTTTACTTAGTTGATGTACAATATTATATTAATTTCAAATGTACAACATAGTGATTAGACATTTATATACCTTACAACGTGATCCCCCTAATAATTATAGTACCCACCTGACATACATACATTGTACATACATAGTGATTACAATTATCATTGACTATATTTCTTGTGCTGTACTTTACATCCCCATGATGGTTTTCATAACTGGCAATTTGTACTTCTTAATCTCTTCTACCTTTTTGCCTCTCCCTCTAACCCCCTGTTATCTTGATCCTGTTGACTACAAGCTAGGTCAGAGATGGGGCTTTTATGTCTCAGTTTCTCCCCAGAGACAAGCAGAGTGTCCTGCTTGGGTTTTGGCCTGCTATTTTGAGTCCTTTTCACTCAAGAGCACCCCCTACAGGAAGGGTTGAGAAGTACAGGGAAGGGTAGGAGAAGCTGTGGTTTCAGAGTCAGCCAGCTACTGTCCTGTGTGGCTTTGGGTAAATTAACTCACTTCTCTGAGTCTCAGATATCTTTACAACATAGATACTCTTTATGGTACACCCCAGTCATCATCAGAGGACATAACTATGAATAATTGACTGAGTGTGATACGTAGGAGGCACTTAAAATATGAATTTCCTTGCCAGGAAGTGAAAGACTAATACCATGTGATCTTACCTATAAGATCACATCAACCTAATCAACAAAACAAACAAGGGAGCAAAATAGAACCAGAGACATGGAAATGCAGAACAAACTGACAGTAACTGGGGGGGGGGGGGATAACCGGGGAAAGAAGGGGAAGAGTTGTCAAGAAACAGTTACAAAGGATCCATGAACAAAGCCAACAGGGGGTAGTGGGGAGGACTAAATGTGGAAGGTGAGGGTGGGTAAAGCAGGGGAGAAATGAATGGGAGAAAATGAAGACAGCTGTAATTGAACAACAATAAAAATTTTTTAACAAGAAAAAAATGAATTTCCTTTCTCCCCTTTCCTCTTATTATGACACTGCCACTTAAGTTGAGTGTGTGAGCTGATAAAACCCAATATGACCTGCTTGAATGCATATTTTTCTTAGCTTTACTTGTAACCTCTTCTATTTTATTTCTACTTTTTTTCCAGTTCTTGCTGCTTTTCAATGTGTAACATCACTTTTTTTTTTTTGGATACAAAGGCCAGCATCTTTTCTGGGCTTTCCAGTTTTCTGCCTGACTGAAAACCATCCCCCAAGAAGACTGTCTATGAAACAGTCACAACTATGACCTCCAGGGAAGGAGGAAGGGAAGAAACATGCTTTGCAGTGAGAAACAACCCCTCCTCCTTCTCTTCACCAGCTGGTTGGTGCTCTTCTCTTGGTTTTCAGGTCGACAACACATTCACCCCCAACTTCCATGTTGCCTCTCCTACCCACCCTGGGTGGGTAAGAGAGGCGACATCCTTACCCTATAAACCACCCACCTGGTCCCACAGCTGGTCACCCTGGCCCTGGCTACTCTTGACCCATTTCTAAACTGCTTCCATTTCCCCATTCGGTAAAAATAACTGGGTGAGTTTACTTTAAGATACGCAAACTTTTCCTGTAAAGGACCAGATGCTAAATATCTTAGGCTTTGCAGGCTGACAACTCAACTCTGCATGAAATCAGCCATAGAAGACCATACATAAAAGGATGGGCATGGCTGCTCTGCAATAACACTTTATTAATGGACATGCTAACATTTGTATTTCATATTTTTATGCACCACCCAACCATCTGATTCCCCCAACCATTTATTTGTTTATTGTTTTTTAAAAATCTTTTATTTATTTATTCTTAGAGAGATGGGAAAGGAGGGAGAAAAAGAGGGAGAGAAATATCAATGTGCAAGACACATCGATTGGTTGCCTCTCATGCGCCCCCTACTGGGGACCTGGCCCACAACCCAGGCATGTGTCCTGACTGGGAATTGAACCAGCGACCCTTTGGCTTGCAGGCCAGTGCTCAATCCACTGAGCCACACCAGCCAGGGCCACTCTCTCCCAACACCCCACAGTTGTTTAAACTGTAAAAACAGTCTTGGCTCTTGAGCGGTATGTTGAGCCATTGTTAATGGTTCTTCCACCTTGTAGAAAAGTGACCCTGTGAATAATCTGGTGCCTTGGTTTGTCACACAAAATGTTTATCTTTGCAGAAGAGTGTATCCAGAGAAGGTCACTCTGGAGAGAGCTGTCAAGCGGTTGCAAATGTCAGGCCTGGGATGGGATGGCCCATCCTGGGAGAAGTTTAAAAAAGACAGAGAAAGAGACTCTGCCCCCTTTTCCTTATCCTCTCCATGACCCTGACTTTCCACCCCAGCCTGGATCCCCACCCCACAGCCCAGTGGGCCCTCAGTGGAACCTGATTTCTGCATAGTCTGAGCCAATGTCCCTGGACTCCTGGGTCTCCTGTGCCCTGAGGCCGGAGAAGCTGAGGGCAGCGTAATGAATCTCTTCTTTGTTGTTCCCTGATTCTGGGGCTGGACGGGATGATTTGGGTCCTGGGGGGTTAGCATCTGCAGGAGGGGTCCTGGAAGGACTGCTGGGTTTGGCCCTCCGATTCCGAGCCTAAGGGAAAAATGGCCGTCATTCATTCATTCATCCATTTGTTTGCTCAGCAAATACTTGAGTGCCTACCACATGGCAGGCACTGATGGAAGAACTGGGGTCACATGAGGAAGTAAATTCTCTGCCTTTTAAAAAAACCCTCACCCAAGGATAAGTTTTTATTAGATTGATGAGGGAGAGAGAGTGATCAGTTGCCTGCCATATGTGCCCTGACTGAGGATCAAACCTATAACCTAGCTGTGTGCCCTGACCAGGGATTGAACCCGCAAATTTTGGTGTATGGGATGATGTTCCAACCAACTAAGCCAGCTGCCCAGGGCAGTCTGTATCTCTTTGCTGTGCCCCCCCTAGCAGACTAGCACAGGTAGACAGATGCCTGTAACCCCCATCAAGATGCAGAACGGCTCTAAACCCAGAGACCTGTCCCTAACCTCGGTGCAGGTACTACTCTGTTTCCCAGCTCTACAACGTTATCATTTGAAAAGAGCTATATAAGTGGAATTATGTACGTGGGACCGTTAGAGTTTGGCTTTTTAAGAACATTTTTGTCCCTAAGCTCTATTTAACCGGTTGCCAAGTATCAATCCTTTGTTCCTTCCTTTGGATTGTAGTCAAGAGGCTTGATAGATCTATTTGGCTTGTAAATGGATATGATGTACAGAGAAGTAGACTGGGGGTGTGGGAAGCAGAGAAGACCCTCAGAAGGTGGAGGTGTGCCCACCTTCTGCCTCTCAGTGATGTTAATGATGGTTACATCATTCATTAGTAATGTTCTTAGTGGCGGTTAACAATGGTGTAGCTGCTACGTATGGAGCAAGGGCATGTGTTTTGCGCCTCCCACCAACTCTCAAAGAAAACAGAGGAAGCAATGGAGGCTCAGACAGAGCCAGTGATTTTGGTCAAGGTCTCTCAGATACTAAGTGCCAGCCAGAATCAGGATTTGGATCCAACACCCATGCTTTTTCCACCTTGATGTCCCTCAGGCAAAGAGGGGGGACAGGGCAAGAAAGGGGCAGCAGACCCCGACCACTCACTCACCAGGTGACCGGTGTTAGGGACCACGTTGATGTAATCCAGGATGGTGCTCCTCCTCGTGACCCTGAGCCTCTGAGTCTCTGGTTGGGCGGGAGTCTCAGCCTGGGTCGGCGGAGTCCCTGCCTGCGTCGGAGTCCCTGCCTGGGTCTGTTTCTTTCTCAGAATCTTCACTCTGAGGAAAGGACCCGCCTCAGTGGGCGCCCCGGCACTTCCTTCCCCTGTCCCCTGTCCCCACACCCCGTCACACCTGCTCCTAACTCACAAGACCAGGATGAGGCAGAGGATGAAGAGGGTGGTGACGCCAGTGCCCAAAAGTACACCTCTAGAGAATCCTTTTGAGATGAGGCCTTTCTTTTCTGCAGGAAGAAAAGTCTCTGAGCCTCTCTTATCAACGCGGGTCTCCCCACCAGCACCTGGGCTTCCTGCTCCCCTTCCAGACGTCTTACTAACAATTCCTTTCAGTCTATCTCTTTAAAACCCTGCTGCACCCCAGGCTCAGGTTTTGTATTCTCCCCTCTGAACCCCCAGCCAGAGATGCAGGGGAGTCCCTCCCCAGCTCCTGCTCCCCCTCCAACCACAGGTCCCAGTGTTTGCCCCACTCAGGTCCCGCCTCAGGGGGCAACAAGCAGGCCCCTGACCTGGCAGCAGCAGGACACTGGCGCTCTGGGCCCCGTGGACATTCCCAACCTCGCAGCTGAGCCTGAGGCCGGCGCTGAGCCCCGCGCGGAGGCTCAGGGAGCTGTTGGCCCAGGGTCCCTCTGAGCTGGAGGTGACCGTGTAGGAGTCGTTGCTGTGGTTCCCCTCCAGCAGCATCTCCCCCAGCCGCCAGCGCAGCGAGGGGGCCGGCTCCGCTCGGGAGGAGCAGCTGCAACGCAGACCCTCGTCCTCCCAGGAGCAGGAGTGTCCCAGCAGCCGTGGGGGGTCTGTGGGGACCGAGAAGAAGGGTCAGCGGTGCCTCTGCCCTCCCAGGACCTGGATGCCTTGACCCCATGTGCCTCCATCCCTCCACTCACAGCGCACAGAGAGATGCAAGGAGGCTTGGAGGGATCCCAGCGGGTTCGAAGCTTTGCAAATGAATTCGCCTCCATGCTCCATTTGTATCCGAGGCAGTTCCAGGACCCCAGGGTCTGAGGGCTGGGAGGAGCTCAGAAATTCCCCGCACCGGGTCCAGCTCAGCCTGGCTGCCGGGTTGCTGTGGGCAACACAGAGCAAACGCAGGCTTTCGCCCTCCAGGATGGGGAGAGACGCGCCATTCCTGAGGTTTTCCAGGACTAGGAGACAGAAGAGGCAGGAGAAATGCAGAGCTCACCCTGGCGCATGCGCACATTCCAGACGCACGGGCTCCCAGTTTAGCCCTGAGAAGACCGGGTTGCTCTGTCCCCTCTCCTACCTGTCCCATCTGCTCGAGAGACCATCACTGTCAGGTTCTCAGGGGCATCTGAAAGAGACACACAGCACCAGCTGCAGGAGGCCAAGGGCCACCCTCAAGGCAAAGGGTCCCTGGGGACTAGAGGGAGAGGCAGGCAAGGATGGAGGACTGAATCACCACGCAGTGAGTCACCACAACACAAACCACCCCAGGAAATAGGTGGGGGATAAGGGCACCCTGTGACAGTGTGATTTATAATAAGAGAGGTATATTTGGTCTTGGACCCCTCTCCTGGCACAGAGATCCTGAAGATCTTGGAGTTTCTAAGTGATGACAGCGATGAAGGTGTCTCCATACTCATCACAAACACTTTTGCCACTACAGCTGAGTTCAGGTTACGGAGGTGACTTCTGCAAAGCACCTAAGGATGGAGGCTGGTTGCCAGGGAAACCAATCCTGCCACTGGAGGGATGGCCTATTCAGGGCCATCCCTGACCTCCCAAAGTGGGAGGGGCTAAAGATTGAGTTCAATCACCCGTGGCCAAGGAGTTCCTCTCTCATACCTATGGAGTGAGCCTCCATGGAAACCCAAAAGGCCAGGGTTCAGAGAACTTCTTCAGGGTCCGTGAACACATGGAGATTCGGGGAGGGAGTGGCTATGGCAGTCCTGGGCCCTTCCTCTGGGCCTGGCTCTAGGCATTTTTTCCATCTGGCTGTTCTGACTCATGATGTCCTTTCCTAACAAACTGGTGATCTGGTAAGTAAAATGTTCCCTGGAGTTCCTGGAGCTGCTCTGCCTAGCCAATTTTACTCAAACCTGAGGCGGGAATGGGCCATCTATCACTTCTGATCTAGAGTCACAAGCAGAGGTGACACCCTAAACTTGCTACTGGTACCTAAAGTGAGGAAGTCCTGTGGGTCTGAGCCCTTCACCTTTGGGGTCTGTGTCTCCAGATACACAGGGTCAGAAGCGGGTGGAACTATATGACACTCAGCTGGAGTCAGAGAATTGCTTGGTGTTGGGAGGAAAATTATCTTGGTCAGAATTGGAATCAAAATCGTTGTCCTGTAGGCCTGGGTTCCAGGCTGCTTGGAGGTCTGGGATCCTGCCCCCAGCCCTGGCCCTCACCCTCTCGCCTCCCAGAAACCAGGCCCTGCTGGTCACACTCACACTGCACAGAGAGGTTCAGCGTGCGGCTTTGGAAGCCAAGCCCGTTTTCTCCTCGGCAAGTATAGCGTCCTGCATCCTCAGGCTTCACCTTAAGCAATACCAGCTGCAGGCTCCGAGACCCTGAGGGGTGGGACCTAGAGAGGACTCTGTCCTCCAGGGCCCAGCTCAGAGTGGCAGGGGGATTGCTGTCTGCCTCACAGAGCAGCCGTAGGGACTGGCCTTTCTGGACTTTCAGAGGTTGGCTGTCTCCCTCGAGCATCTGGGCTGCAGAGTGGAGTGGTGAGAGAGAGAGAGAGAGAGAGAGAGAGAGAGAGAGAGAGAGAGAGAGAGAACATTTCCCCCATATTCCTGACATATTTTCATCACTCGGAGAGGACTGGACAAGCCCCGTCCAACCCCACATGCAGGCCCTGGTACCTGATCCGTCCTCTTGGAAAATGCTGATCACCGGGACTTTGGGGGCATCTGAAACAAGATTGTGAGCTGGCATTGGGGAGGAATGTTTGGCTTCCCACAGCCAGAGAAAACCCATCCTGGGAACAGAAAGTATGAGTGTGCCTCCCACTCTTGGGAAGACAAGGGACACAGGAATGACAAAGAATGCTTGTGGAGGGAGGACCAATGGCATCCAATATCCCTCCCACCTCAGGACGCCACTCCTTTCTTTCCGTGGACACCCTGCCCACAGCCACCCACAGCCAGACAACCCTACCTCCCCACCCGCTGCACCAGCTGCCCACACTGATGTCCCCACCAAACTCACAGGCCACGTTAAGCTGGACACTGTTTTCGAAGGTCAGATGCTCTCTGGGGAAGTGCACTCGGCAGGTGAGGCTGGCACCATGGTCCTCAGAACTGGGCGTGAAGGTGAGCACTGAGACACGGGTGGAGGTCAGACTGATTTGGTGGGAGGAGCGGGCAGCCCCCATCCAGGAGAAGGTAGGGGCTTGACATTGTTCATAGTTCAAGTCAAACACACAGATGGCTGTCACCTGATGCCCAGGCTCCAGGGTCTTTGGGACATACACAGCTGGCTTCTGTGTCCTGGCTGGGATGAGAGAGGATACTGCTTGTAATCCCAGATGGGGTTCCTCAGGGGGTGACCCATGGTCCACTCCCCACAGCCCCTCCCAGCATGAGAGACAGGGGTTGACGGGAGAAGGAGGTCCTGCCCCATTTCAGCCAGATCCTTACCTGTCACATTCAGATAAAACTTCTTAGTCACAAAATTATATTGCACGGATCTGCCTCTCTCAATCCGAAAATGGTACTGTTTGCTGTCTTTCCTCCGTGGATCTTTGATCTGCAAGGTGCAGCTATACTCCTGGGGATTGCCCACAAGGGAGAATCGGCCCTTGGCCTCTGATTCCACCACTCGAGACAAGCTGTTTGTGGCCACTGGACGACCATGGGTCGTTTCTGTTCCTTCAGTGAACCAGTAGCCATAAGCTGGAGTTTGGTTACTCCAGTCATCACGGGGGTACGAGAAGGAGCAGGGCACGAGCACACACAGGCCCTCTGGCACCGTCACCACCCCCGGCACTGCCAGTGAGTATCCAGAGTCCTGGCTCCCATGCTGGTCCTTATGGCCATCAGCCCACTCACCACCCCACAGCATGGCGAAAATCAGCATCGGGAGCATCTCTGCCCAGGCGACACTTGCAGCTGCCCTGGGACAGGCTCATTCCCTGACTCTGTGACTGGTAGTGAGCAGGGGCAGAAGAGGAAGCCTGGGCAGGCGGGCGGGCGGGTGGGCGGAAGCTGAGCCTGGGGGACTGATGCATGAAATGAGCTCCTCATCTGAGACCACTGGAATCTCCCTTTACCCCCGACTCCACACCCCACCTCACCCACTTGGACTCTGCCTTTCCTGGGGGCCGTGCCTGGTGTTGGACTCGCGGAGCTGGTCCTTCCTGGGTCTCCTCTGCAGGAGGGAGTGGAAGGCAGGTGTCTAGCCCTGGGGCCTGGCTGTGGGTGGGTAGACAGTGGCACTCCCCTTCTGAATCCTGGGTTATCGCAGAAGCAGAAGTGAAAGTTCACAGTGAGTCCTTTTGACAGCAGCCCCTGGAGATGGAGGAGGGTGTAGTGGGCTTGGGTTTCTGAGTGTGTGGTGGGGAGCAGGGCTCTTCTTGCCAGATAAAGTGCAGGATGCCCAGGAAATTCCACTCGCAGATACACAAGGAATCATTGTTTTAGTGTAAGTAGATCTTAAATATTTTGTGGGACATATGTCCACTAAAATGATACATTTAAAAAAAGATTTTATTTATCCATTTTAGACAGAGGAGAGGGGAGGGAGAAAGAGACAGAGAGAAACATCAGTGTGTGGTTGCCTCTTGCACACTCCCTACTGGGAACTTGGCTCACAACCCAGGCATGTGCCCCAACTGGGAATCAAACCAGGACCCCTCAGTTCACAGTCCAGTACTCAATCCACTGAGCCACACCAACCAGGGCCGATACAGTGTGTATATCTGAAATTCTGAGTTATTTGGGTGCCTGGTGTTTTGATTTGCTAAGTCTGGCAACTGTAGGCTGGTCTCAGGACCACGCCATCATCCTCTGTGGTGGGTTCCTGGAGCCTGGTCCTTGGAGGGCACCCAACCCTAAGACCTGAGTCCACTTCCCATCTCCTCTCTTCTTCTATCATACACTTGCCTGACCCTTGCGTGTGACACCTGTTGTGATAAGAACACCTGTACCCAGAGATAGATCTGGTGGCTGGAGTTGCAGGTGATATAAAGGGCGAGGTGGACATGAAGTGAGTGGGATAAACACCCCCACACGTGTCCCCCTAACCCAGTCTTCCTTCCGAAAATGACTCTGTTTAGTCATGTGCAGACACTGTGCTCTCCCACACAACCTCATGCCTTGGGACCGTGTGTGTGGTCGGTGCTAAGCTGCATAGGGGGGACACGCAGGTAAATATGACACAGTGTCTGGCTTCAAGGGCATCCAGATGGTAACTGAAGATTCAAAGAAAAAGAGAAGTACTGAAGTGCTCATAACTGTCACTCTTCACTCCCCTGCAAGCTGAGCAAATGTTCATGAGGGTCCCCTGGAAGGGGGGGTTACTTCTTCCTGGTGCTGCCAGGACAGGTGTCCTGCAGCAGGTGAAACCTAACTGTCCCTGCCCTGGCATCATAGTCACAGACTGGATGACTTGAATAACAGAAATTTATGTCCTTACAGTCCTGTGGAGAGTGGATGTTCAAGATCAAGATGTCCCTCCATGGCTGCTTTCTTCTGAGGCCTCTCTCTCTCTCTGGCTTTTTAGTTGGCTGTCTCCTCCCTGTGTTCTCCCATGGTTTTCTCTTTGTGTGTGTCTTGTGTTGTAATGGTCTCTACTCAGAAGGCCACCAGTCCTATGTTTCTAGGGCCACCCTCTGACCTTATTTTAACTGAATTACTTCCTGAATGGCCTATTCTCCAAAGAGTCACATTTTCAGGTACTGGAGGTTAAGACTTGAACACATCAGTTGGACGTGGGATACAATTTAGTTCAAAACATCCACTTTCCTCTTCACTCTGATCCCCAGTTCTCCATGCCCAACTGACTTTTGGGGGGAGAGCTGGGTCCCTTCTCTCAGGGGTGCTCATAGAGGGAGGGCCTCTCCAGGGAGGAGCAGGAAGGAGACCTGGTCCTTCTGGGGATTGTCCTGAGGGAGCTGAGGACCAGGAGAATGGTAACCTCTCCACCCTCAGGTGGCTTCTCTGCACCACCATCCAATCCTGCCCCTTCAACTGGAGAAGGGAGAGAAGACCCTCAGTCACCCCGGGGCTGAATGATGACAATCTGAGATTCTCCCGCTCCTCCAGGCTGACCCAAGGCCTTGCAACCCCAGCTCAGCCTGTATACCACCCTTGGGCTATTTCTCCCTTGGAACTTTAGAGCTGACCCCTCAGGTGTGGGGCTGAGGAGGACTCCAGGACGAGGTGGGGACAGCTTGGCAGCTCTACATGCAGAGCCACATTATCAGGGAGAAATGTAAAGAGGGAGGGGTCTGGGGACCCTTCAGTGACCCCCCCCATGGACTGACCCTCCCTCCTCCTGAAGGCAGATGCTAAGAAGCTCCTAGAAGTGGTCCTGAGACCCTCAGCTTTGCTCCCCCTTTCCCAGCAATACTGAGGGTTCTCTTTTCCTCTCCTCACATCACAGGAAAAGTCCTTCAAGGACCAGGCCTTCAAAAAAAGATTTTAAATTTTATTTATCTTTAGAGGGGAAGGGAAGGAGAGAGGGAGAGAAATATCAATGTATGTTTGCCTCTGGTGCGTCCCCTGCTGGGAACTGGCCTGGAACCCAGGTATGTGTCCTGAATGGGAATTGAACCGCAATCCTCTGATTCGCAGGCCCACGCTCAATCCACTGAGCTAAACCAGCCAGGGCAGAATCAGACCTTTATTGACCAGCCATCCTGCCCGGCCTCATCCCGCTGTGTTCTATCTGCACATCATTCAAACTTGTCCTGCCAAGGTCACCAAAAACCTCAAAGGGCTAAAACCCACAGTCGATCTTGGTTGAACTGGATGCTGCCCCCTCAGCAACATGAGATGTGCACAGTCACCTGTTTGCTTCTGAAGCACGAAAGTCCAGCTTCCGTGTCACCTAGAGCTGCCACCTTAGTCAAGGCACGATGCTCACGCTCTGTGTGAAGGTGCCTTTTCCTGTCTGAGTGCCGCCCATGACTTCCTGTGCCCCCCCCAGGGGGCGCTCCACCCACAAGCACAGACTGACCCCTGGGGAGCCCCAGGCACCGGCATAGGGGAAGTCACTGTTCTGGAGAAGAACAGCTGCACAGGGAGCCCACCCAGGTTCTGGACACGTTTGCAGATGTTGCCCTTCACAAAGGGCTGCATTCATTCTCGTTGCTGCCCCAGAGGATGACTGTGCCCCGTTCACTGCTACTCTATCGACTGAACTCCGCGGGGGGAGCATATAGACCAAACACCATCACCACCACTACCCCACCTGGCCCCCTGCAGACCCTCCAATATAAAACATGTCAGCATAGTCTCACTCTCACAGCCTCATTCTGAAATGACATGAACCCAGACGCACTCACCACGTGACATGCACGTCAGAAAACGTGCCGCTGTGGTGTCAGAGTCCAGGTGCGCTGTTATCACAGAACACTGTAGACCCGGCTGCTTAAAGAGGAAACATTCATTTACCTCAGTCCTGAGGGGTAGAAGTCCAAGATGAAGCTGCGGGCAGATTTTTGGCGTCTGTGAGGGTCCACTTCCTGGGTGACAGATATGGTCTCCTCACTGTGTCCTCACATGGTGGAGGGGGGGCCAGGGAGGTCTGTGAGGTCTCTTTAATATGGGACCATTTTTGAGGGCTTCACCTTCATGATCTAATCCCCTCGTAAAGGTCCCAGATGATTAGGTTTCAACATATGGTTTTGTGGGAGGCAGTCTGTGGTATGTGGGGGCGTTGTCACATCTTTGCTCTGTTCAGACTGGGGTCATGTGATGGCTTTCACCCTTTTCTCTCAAATCAAGAGAGCTTTTTGAGGCAAAATCTGTGGTCAGACAACCCATTTCACACCAATTTCTAGCAAAGGAAAAAATTTGCAAATCTCAGTACTTTGTGATGAGTGATAATTGTTACCTAGTAGTGGGTGTCAATTCCCAGGGTGAAGAATTCTTTTGCAAAAGCAAACACCAATTCTGTGTCACAGCCTGAGGCTGTCAGGGCTCTGATCCCTGCTGACTTCTCCAGCCTCTTGTCCTTTTACTCCATTATGTTTTCAAATCACCCTTTAAGAAAGACTGAGGCAGCCCCTGCTGGCACGGACGGACAGGCCTTGGCGTTCTCTTGCTGAACATAAACATCACAGGATGTGACACCAAAGTCAGGTGCCTGTGTCTGTGGTGGAACCAGACCACTCCAGTCATGTCTGAGTGCAGACCAAACAGAAACATCGTCTAAGCCACACTGTGACCCAACACTCCAATCTAGGGTGCTGTGAATGACTGCTGCTTATTGACCACCTGCAGCTCCAATTGCTGCCGTGGGCTGTAGGTTGTGCCCTCTCCACGTCCCTAAGTGAAGCTATAACTCCAATGCCATGGTATTTGGGGATGGAGCCTTTCAGAGGTGATCAGGTCAGGAAGTGGACTCCTCATGATGAAACTAGTGCCCTTATTGAAAGTCCCCAGGGAGCATCCTTGCCCTCCTCAGTGTGAGGACACGTTGAGGACAGGTTGCCTATTACCCAGGACATGTTCCCTTCTCAGACACCTAATCTGCTAGTGCCTTGATCTTCCACTTTCCAGCTTCAGGACTGTGAGTAAGGCCTGGCTGGGTGGCTCACTTGGTTGGAGTGTCATCCCATTCACCAAAAGGTTGGAGGTTCAATGCCCATTCAGGGCACATATGTAAGTTGCCATTTTAACCCCCCCTCGGAGCATTAATCGGAGGCAACTGAACAATGTTTCTCTCTCACATTGATATTTCTCTCTCTGTGTCTTTCCCTTGCTCTCTCTCTGTCTCAAATCAATAAATGTATTTTGTAAATCTTTAAAAAGTACCCTGGCTGGTGTGGCTCAGTGGATTGAGAGCGGGCGTGTGAACCACATGATCGCGGTTCGATTCCCAGTCAGGGCACATGCCTGGGTTGTGGGCCAGTTCCCAGCAGGGGACTCACGAGACGCAACCACACACTGATATTTCTCTCCTTCTCTCCTTCCCTTCCTCTCTAAAAAGATAAATAAATAAAATCTTTATAAAAAACTTTAAAAAGTGCTGTGCATAATATATTTCTGTTGTCTGTAAGCCTCTCGGCCAATAACACTATTGTAGAAATGGGCACAGATAAAAACAGACACCCAGGGGCCAAAGGCATCACTTAGTGAGACTGGCATTTATTTCTCTAACTGAAAACCTGATCAAGATATGGAGCATGTCTGTCACTCTAGAAGACACTACACAGCCTGGCTTTCCATTCGCTCCCAGCATCATCAGCCCACCATGCTTGAGTAATAGCCTAGGGCCCACAAGCTGGGAGGCATCATGGAGAGAGCTCTCACCTGGACTGTCCCTCTTCAGGGCAGACCTGGCAGGGATGAGCAACGCTGGCAGCCTGCTCCTCCTGGGAAGATACCATCACCTTCACCTTGGGATGGGAGAGGGAGCCCTGTGTTTTTGGCACCACCCACCAGGCCTGGAGTTCCCACAATGCTGAGCTGGAATGTGGGTGGCAGGGTGTAGATGCTGCTTCCAATGGCAAAGAACTCATTGTTCCTACCAAGGTTGTGTCAATTTTCCTCTTTTTAAAAAGATTTTATTTATTTATTTATTTATTTATTTATTTATTTATTTATTTATTTATTTATTTTTAGACAGAGGGGAAGGGAGGGAGAAAAAAAGGGAGAGCAACATCAAGTGTGGTGGCCTCTCGTGTGCCCTCTACTGGGGACCTGACCCACAACGCAGGCATGCGCCCTGACTGGAGCTTAAACAGGCAACCTTTCAGTTTGCAGGCCGGCACTCAATCTACCTAGCCACACCTGCAAGGATGTCAATTTTCTTAAATACATCTTTCATTTTCTGATGAAAGAAAAGAGCATTATGTGTGCTCTTAGAGCAATTTCCAGAGACCAGAAATGGTGGTTTATAGAAAAAAATTTCAACACTTATGCTTGTTTGAGTGAACACAGAGCCCATGGATCACCTCCTGTTAACATTTCAAAGTGGAACCAGCAGTATTATCCTGAAAGTCACAACTGGAAATGATCTGAATGTCCCTCAGCTGCTGAATGGATCAACAAACTGTTGTGTGTATCCCTACAGGGGAATGATATGTAATCACTGAGAACAAAATGTCACTATTTTAAATCAATACAATCAAGGTTATTAATTTTAAAAATACTGTACATGTACTCCAACATGGTTGAACCTCTAAAACACAACTTTCCCTGAAAGTATCAGACAAAGAGATTTGATTGGATTGTGTGTATATAAAATGCTGATTTAAAAAAAAAACATCATTAGAGACTGAAAGCAGATAATGACTTTTTAAAGATGGGAAAGGAGTAGGTATTAATTGTAAATCAGCTAAAAGGTCCTTCTAGCTAATCAAATGTGTGACCATGGTGGCAGAATTCTATTAATTTACTAAAAACATCGTTGAACTGTTTACTTACAATGAATTAACATTATGTTGCATAACTTATCCCACAATCAATATTTTAAAGTTTTTGCTGGGGACTTCTACTTCTGAGCATGGGGGACTAACAGGGTCCAGAATTATTTATTCTTTTGTAAACAATGCAACGATGAACAAAAATACAGGAATCTATATTTTTATACAAGAGAGAGAGAGAGACAGGGAGTATCCATGATCCTTGAAAGAAGACCAAATTCATACAGAGACCTCTAATCACCTAGGTTTTTGCTAGTGAGTTGTTTGCAAGGGCACACACCAAAAAGAACTAAAATTTTACTGAGCTGAGGAGGCATACATTGGACTTTAAAAGGACTGTCACAGCTAAAGCATGCACATCCAAGTTTTAGACAGAAAAACAGCATTGCAGAGAAAGGGTCCAAGGTTAAGTTGTTGGCAAAATACTACTCGGCATGTGCAAACCCCACGAGGACCCACAAGAACAATTTCTAAGGAGAGAACAATTACCAGACAGCTGTGAGATGGGAAATTCCTGGAGATCACAAAGGGCTTGGTCCTGTGCATAATCCTTCCAGACAGAGGGAAGATACTGCCTTTAATACATGGGCATTTAGCACTGGTTGGTGTGCTCAGTGGATTGAGTGCCAGCCTGCAAACCAAAGGGTTGCTGGTTTGATTCTCAGTCAGGGCACATGCATGGGTTGCGGGCAGGGGCCCCATTTGGGGGTGTGTGGGAGACAGCCACACATAAATGTTTCTCTTTCTCCCTCTCCCTTCCTTCCTTTCTCTCTAAAAATAAATAAATAAAATCTTTAGAATGTATATACATGGGCATTTAGTGGCTCTTCCAAAGGGCCATTGCATGCAATTGAAAGAATATTAATTCTAAAAAAAGGCTACACTAGACCTATCTTAGCAAAGAGGCTAATAATTAAAAAGCCTTAAAACTATTGGCTCAACATGAAAGTCACTTGACTGCCTTCCAGAGAAAGAACCAATGTTCTTCAAAGAAATTCAACAAGACCAAGCAGTCAGCCACATGAAGCTCACATTGTCCACCACTCAGTGAAAAATTACAAGACATATAAAGAAATATGAACCTACAGCACTTCACAGAAGAAAGCCATTCAGTTAATCATGCTCAGACATGACAAAGGAGACTGACCTGGCAGACAAACACATCGCAGACTTGTTGCAAATATGTCCCATATATTCAAGAATATAAAGAAAAACACTAGCATAATAAGAGAAGAAATAATAAGATTAAAAACCAAAGAAGTGCAACTTCTAGGGAAGATACATGACCTAAAATGCAAATGTCACTGGATGAGAATAACAACAGATTCAAATTGGTAGAATAATCAATAAACTCAAAGATGCAGCAATAGCTTTGGTTCTCACTGAAAAATACAGAGAAACAAAGGCTGAAGATGCTCAAGGCCCTTTGAGATAATATCAGGCAATGTAAATATGTAATATTTGAGACCCAGAGAAGAAGAGAGAGAGAGAATAAATACATGCATACTAATTAAATAAATATCAGCTTTCATTTTTTGTTTTTTTTTAAACATCAATGTGTGGTTGCCTCTCACACGCCCCCACTGGGGACCTGGCCCACAACCCAGGCATGTGCCCTGACTGGGAATTGAACAGGTGACCCTTTGGTTCGCAGGCCAGCACTCGATCCGCTGAACCATACCAACAAAGGCTGGCTTCCATTTTTACAAATATAATCACAGCTGTAAATTGACAGATTAAGATACTAAACAAACTCTCACCAGGATAATGTCTGTCTCTCCCTCTCTTTATCATAAGCACACATGCTGAGAACCCAGTAAGACAATTGATAATCACATCATTTAAACCCAGTAAATGCCAGAAAACATTAAAACCACCCATAGCAGGACATACTACAAAGAAAAAAGATAAAAATGACAGCAGAATTCTCATTAAAAATACTATGAAAGCCAAAAGAAGGTGAAGAACTAAAAGAACAAAATATTTTCCTAGCATTCCTCTTTCAAGGAAATTAGGGATGGGGGGGCCAGTGTGGGTAGGAAAATGGACACAACCGTTCTGGAACAATAATTTTTTTAAGTTAAAAAATGGAGGCAATGGTACTTGAACATCAATAAAGAAAAAAAAAGAAAGAAAGAAAGAAAAATATCTTCCCAAAGCTCATGGAAACATTTTCAGGCAAAGATTGGCTGGGAGAACTGATCACCACTATCCCTGCAAGAACTGTACAGAAAGATCTTCGGATTCAAGGTAAACAAACAGGAGGTAAAAATGGAGAAAGATGGTCAAAAGACAGAGACTTCCAATTGGAACATAAGTAAGAACTAGAGGTGCAACGTACAACGTGATAACAGCAGCTGACTTTTCCGCATAGCACAGAGGAAACTTGTTAGGAAAGTCAGGGCTGAGTTCTCATTACAGAGAGAAATATGTTTTCCTTTTTTGCCCCCTGAGTTTTTATTGCATCTATATGAGAAGGTAGATGTTATTTGGACCTGCTGTGCTAATCCCTCCACAATGTAGGTAAATAAAACCGCCATGCTATGTGCCTTACACATATACACTGATGTTTCTATTTTCCATAAAATTAGAAAAAAGGAAACTATAGAGAAAAAACTGTACTTGAAAAATAACTAAATAAAATTTTTAAAAATCCATATTAAAAAAAAGGAAACTAATACTATAGAGAAATCTGAATGCCCACAAAGAGATAAGGGGCACTTGAACAGGTTGGTGCTTTTTCTAATTGAAAATCATTGTAAAACTGCTTACAAAGAATACATTCTGGGATTTAGAACAATATATTATGGGGCTGAATGATGGGCTAATCAGAACCACATTAAGGTAAGCACACAGAAGCAAAATATTACATGAAGTAATATTTTACTAAGAAATTGAAATTAGCACTGACATCTTTATCCAGCTCCCACTGGCCCTCCATCCACTGAAATGAAGCTACCAGAAAGAGTCGTGGGAACCAGAGGTGAATGGTGATTTCTGAATGGGACACAATGGTGAGATCGATCCTTCTCCACCTGCTAGGGCTCTGGAGCCCAGACCCTAGCATCACCTCCAGGACAGGGCTCAATCTCCTCATGCAGCTTCTTCCTCTAAGGAGCCTCTAAACCTGTGGGGGAAACAAGTTCTGAAATGACATGCCAGTTCTGTGGAGGGTTTGCTCTGGGGAGAACAAGATATGTGAAGCCACAGTGGCGTCCCCAAATCCAGAATACCTTGAGAAACCCACTCACCTGGTGTAGTAGAGCCAGGTGAGGCAATAGGTAAGAAGGAAGCCAGCCCCCATGAGAGCCCCTCTGATCAGGGTGAGGACCAGGGGCCAGGAGCCCTGCTGCTCCCCACAGACCTGGTGGGAGGTACAGGAAACACCTGAAAGAGGAAGAGGAAGAGGAAGAAAGAGAGAGGTATGAGTTTCCTTAAGTGGACACCTCAGTCCTGATTGAAGCCTTACCACTGCCCCCTTAGATCACAGGGGTCCTGCTAATACTCACCCTGCACAGCTAGGTTCAGGGAGACATGGTAGATTTGCAGGTGCTGAGCTTGGCAGGTGAACTCCCCTGCATCTGCCACCATGACCTGAGGCAGCTCCAGGATCCCCGGGTCCGAGGGCTTGAAGGGGCTCAGAGTCAGGCTCCTCCTGGACGAGCTTGGCATCCCCGGGTCATTGCCATCTGTCTCACAGACCAAGTGCAGGGACTGGCCCTCCTGGACATGCAGGGAGGTGGTGTTGCCCAGAACCTCTGGAACTAGGGAGACACAGAGAGACCGAGGTCAGGGTTGAGAGCTGCTCTCTCCTGTACCCACCCCCAGACACAGGGATGGGAAACAGCATCTCTGAGACAAGAACAGCTAGCAAGGGCCAGTGGGGGTGAAGGTGCATGAGGTGAGGTGTGGGCAGGAGAGGCCAGCTGCTACTCCCAGAACTGGGGGTGGCATTTGAGGAAGAGTTAGTCACATGAACACCTGGGAGAGCACCCACAGTGGGTAGACTTTGATGTGAGAAGCTGTGCAGAGGTGCTGATGCATGTAGGGCTGGCCATTGGAGGCTCACACACAGGTGAAGCTCTCAGTCTCTCCCCTGAGGGAGGAGGGAGCAAGGTGAGTTCTGAACAGAGAGGGAATTGGGTCACATGTGAGGTATGTAGAGATGACTTGGGGGCCCAAACTGTGGCAGACTGAAGGAGGAGAACCTGGAGGCTGGAGGTCACAGAGGAGGCTGGCCCAGGTCCAGGTCTCTGTCGTGTCTGGGTGAGAGAGAGGACAGAGGCTTGAGGTGAAGCTGGGTGGCTGTGGGGACTGAGGAAGTTTGAAATCTGAGGCCTTTGCAGGCTGTCAAGTTTGCAGAACTGGGTGAGTCCTGGGGAGTGCTGGGCAAACACAGGGATGCCTGAAGTGACTTTCCAGACATTGAGTCACGTCCCTCAGGCAGGAAGGGCCCTCCCCGGGGGTGCAGAGGACCCTCGGGGTGATCTGGGCAGCACAGAGCTTTGTGAGGGTCTTTAGGGAAGGGGTAGGATGGGAGCACTGGGGTAGGGAGATTCCCCTGAGGGGTCAGACAGAAAGGGGCTGGTAACTGGGCACACAGCTGTAGACTGGTCTTTTTGAAGGAGAGGGACAAGGCACAGCCAGGGAGAGGCAAGGAGTCAGGAAGAGGACAGGTGTCACAGGAAAGTGTGGCCAGGTCGGGGGTGAGGGAGCAACCAGAGGCAACAGTGAAAGGTCAAGTAGAAATTCACAGGAAATCTAGGGAGACCTGGCAGGGAACAGGGGGGAACAGGGCAGAGGTGGGACTAGAGAGTGGATAAGGGTGATGGGGCTTCATTCTGCCCAAGGTCAGATCATGTGCCTCCCGTGCCCTCTGACCTCCATTCCACCCCAGGCCTCTCTCACCTGTGCTGTTTCCCTGGAACACGCAGATAGTCAGTTTCCATGGAGTATCTGGAGGAGAAATAAGTAATTGGCCACATGCAGTATGATGGGCTGATTAGGAGCAAGGTGGTAGGTCTGGGTGTTTTCTTCATCCTCACCCTAGCCATGCCTCCAAGAACAGTCCCCAAGTATCCTACACCCAGGCCCTCCACCCTCAGGGACCCAGTGTCCCTACTGGGTGCTCACAGGTAACGTTGAACTTGACGGTCTTCTCCTTGATCTCAGCACCCTCCAAGGCCACCCGACAGGTGAGGTTGGTGCCGTGGTGCTGGGGCCCTGATGTGAAGGTGAACACTGAGTAGTTGGGAGTCAGGGGACCCAGGGGAGTGCGGTTGGCCCCCATCCAGGAGAAGATGGGTGTCCCTCTGTCACAGTCCCATGACGCTGTACAGGTAATGTTGTTGAGGTGGCCAGATTTCAAAATCCCCTGGATGTGGATGTCAGGTGTTGGTGTGTGAGCTGGGGAAGAAAGAGACAGAGACCCAGGCCCAGGAGGTGGGGTCCCCAAGTGTGCTCCTAACTGCAGCCTCTGTGCCAGGCCAACCCCAAGGTCTCCCTGAGTCTACCCCAGGATGAGAGTAATCAGGTTCCTTTCCAGCCCAGGAGCCCTCAGGACCCAGCCATGCGTCCTCACCTTGTCCCTGTTTCTTATCTGTCATGTGAACAGAGATCCAGTGATATGTGTAACCGTATCTCGCATAGAACCCTCACTCCACTGTGAAAAAGTATGTCCCATTGTCCCCTCTCTCTGTGTCTCTGATGTGCAGGGAGCAGTTGCCAGTCCGGGGATTCCCCATGAGTTGGAATCGGCCCTGGGTCTCCTGTTGCACTTTACGACTGGGGTTGTTTGTGGCCACAGGATCATCCTGGTCTGTGTCGGCCCCTTCCTGGAACCAGTAGCCGTAAGCTGGGGTAGACTCATTCCAGCCATCCCGGGGGTAGAAGAAGGTGCAGGGCACAGAGACACACAGGCCCTCCTGCACCGTCACAGACTCCTGCACAGACAGCGGGAATCCTGGATGCTGAGCCATGGATCCTGCAGGGAAAGGAGGGTGGGCCACAGACTCTATCCCAGCCCACAGGCTCTTCCCCAGGGTACCCACCTGCCAACAGCAGGGCCAACAGCAGCCACAGCATCTCTGGGTTCCTGTAAGTAAAAAGAGAAGGAAGGAAGTGGGAACAGAGCTGTGGGGAGCGAGCCCCATAGAAGCTGAGCAGGAGCATTGGGCCTCCCCCTGTTCACTGAAGAGGAACTTCAGATATGGAGCTTGTCCCCTCTGTGCACAGAGCTGGCAGAAACCCACAGGCCAGAGACCATGGAGACCTGCCCAGAGAGGAGAAGCAAGGGAGCAGACCCAAGGTCCTGCCCCATCTTGGGCAGGACCAAAGCAGGACCAGGACCTTGAGGACTTGAGAATGGGACACCTGATCTCCTAAGGCCCTTCCATCCAAGGGGCTTTTCTGAGCTCTGGTGTGTACACCAGGGAGCTGTGTGGACCTGGAGTTCACAGCCTCATCCAGACCCTCAGGTGGTCATTCCTGCAAAGTGGAGAATTCATGTCTGTGTGAGCAGCTAAGGCAGAAGAAACAAGGGGTCCTGGTGCCGCAAAGGCAGCACCCACTCATCCTCCATCCTTTCATCCACCCACCAAACACTCAGTGAGCATCTAAGTGGAGGCTGGCTGGAGACAGGAAGGGATACATGGACCTGGTCATGTCCGTGAGTTAGTCTCCACCCAGTAGTGTCACTTTGTCCCCAAACACAGTACTGTTGGTCTTCGGAGCTGAAGTTCCAGGTGAATTGGTCATGTGTCCCTGTGGCATGCTGAGTATTTCCTCTAAATATGAGTGTGCCTTTTCCTTTCTGTAGTCTAGTTAAAAAGAACTCTATTCAAGTTGCAAAACTGAGAATGCTACGCCCATTAAACAACTACTCCCTATTGTCCTTGTCACAATGATGGAGATCTTTCCCCAGACGGGAATCACAGGGCCTGGGGGAAGAGCTGTCACCTACCATGTGGTCCTGGGAGTCCAGGGAGGTCCCTCCATTTACCACGTTGCTCTTGGTTCTCCCAGCCCTCCCCTTGACTTTCACTTCCCCTGTGCAAAAAGGGCTTCCTGCTTCTTCTGCACCTGTCTGTGCCTGTTGTTCATCCTGGTTGCAGGTGCTGCAGCATAATTCTTTTTTATTTCCAAATAAATTTTTCAGTTATATTTTATTGTTTATGTTATTACAGTTATCCCATTTTTCCATTTGTCCCCTCCACACAACCCAGCCACTATGACTCTCTCAGGCAATCTCTACATCACTGTCCATGTCTCTGGGTCATGCATATATGGTTTTTGGCTGTTCTATTCTCTATGTTGTACTGTACATCCCCATACTCTATAACTACCAATTTGTACATCTTAATTCCCTCACCTTTTTCTCCCATCCTCCCAACCTCCCCCCACAATCTGTCAACCATCAAAATGTTCTCTATATTTATGATTCAGTTTCTGTTGTGCTCACTTGTTTATTTTATTTTTTAGATTCAGTTGTCGATAAGTATGTATTTATTGGCATTTTATCATTCATATTTTGGTTCTTCTTAACATTTCATATAATACTGATTTGGTGATGATGAGCTTTTTAAGCTTTTGCTTGTGTGGGAAGCTCTTTATCTGTCCTTTGATTCTAAAAGATAGTATTGCTCGGTAGAGTAATCTTAGTTGTAGGTCATTGCTTTTCATCATGTTTAATATTTCTTGCCAACTCCTTCTAACCTGCCAAGTTTCTTTTGAGAAATAAGCTGACGGTCTTATGGGAGCTCCCTTGTAGGTAACTATTTTTCTCTTGATGCCTTTAAGATTACCTGTTTGTGTTGAACCTTTGGCACTTTGAAGTGTCTTAGTGTGGGCCTTTTGAGGTTCATCTTGTTTGGGACTCTGTGCTTTCTGGACTTCTATGTCTATTTCCTTCACCAACTTAAAGAAGTCTTCCGTCATTATTTTTTCAAATAGGTTTCCGATTTCTCACTCTCTCTCTTCTCTTTCTGGCACCCTCATGGTGCAAATATTTGTATGCTTGATTCTCTCAGAGACTCCTTAAACTATCCTCATATTTTGGGGTTATTTTTTCTTCTTGCCATTCTGATTTTTTTTTTTGCTTCCTACATCCCAATAGATGATTTGATTCTTGGCTTCATTCACTCTACTGTTGATACCCTATAAGTTGTTCTGTATTTCAATTAATGTATCCTTTGTTTCGGATTGGATCTTTTTTATGCTGTTGAGGTTCTCACCAAGTTCATTGAGCATTCTTATAGCTAGTGTTTTGAACTCTGCATCTAGTAGATTGCTTATCTCCATTTTGTTTAGTTCTTCTGGAGTTTTGTTCAGTTCTTTCATTTGGGCCATATTTCTTTGTCTCCTAATTTTGGCAGCTTCCCTGTGTTTGTTTCTATGTAGTAGGTAGAACTAGGTCACCCAGGCTTGACAGAGTGGCCTAATGTCATAGGTGTCCTGTAGGGTCCAGCAGCACAACCTCCCCTATTGCCCAAGCTGGGTACCCACAGTGTGTTCACCACATGAGCTGTGTACACCTTCTTTGTGTAGATGAGCCTTGATTACTGTTGGCACATGCAAGATCAGCCACTGCTTGTGTTCTGTCCAGGGTTACTCAGCATAAGCTACAAATCAGTCTGAAAATGGCTGCTGCTAATGCCTGGTTTGGAGGTTCCCAGAAAAGGCTCAGCTGTGAAGCAAAGCCAGCTGCTGCTCGTGCCAGGCCTGGGGCAACTTAGGGAGAGGTAAGGTACTTACTGAAGCCAGATGCTGCTTGTTTTAGAGTTTAGAAAAATCTGAATCATGGGCCAAGACAAACCATTCATATGAAAAAGCCACTCAAAAACACTTCAGTGGGCCCCAAAACTGAGTGGAGCAGGTCCTCAGGAAATCACCAGGGTGGGGCAAACAGTGTGAGCAGATAGATGAATCTCAGACATGACACCTGTCTGATGGCTCTGTGGTTGTAGTGGGGAAGGCTCAGAAAAGGAACAACAGCCCCTGCCAGTACTTCTCTCTGGGAGAAAGCTGATGCCAGACTATTCAGTTCCTCCACATATGTCTCTGATGCATTTCAATCTGCTGTCCCCATGCTGGAGCTCAAAGGAAGTGAGTCTAAGTAAGCCTGTGCATGGGCCCTATAAGACCCCAGGGACTCCAGGGAGTTCTGTCTTCCAAAGCCTTACTTCACTGATTTTTTACAGCCAGAAGTTATGGGGACTTATGTTCCCAGCACAAGAACCCTGAGCTGGGGAGTCTAGTGTGGAGCTGGGACTCCTCACTCCTGAGATATCCCTCCCAATTTTTATCCACTACACATGCCTGGGGGGGGGCCAGTCTGTTCTGAGTCTATGCCCCTCTTTCCAGTATCCATGTGATTTTTTCTTTAATTCTGTAGCTGGAGGACTTCTATTTGGCTCCACTTATGATAGTTCTGAACAATGGTTGTCCTATAGTTTAATTGTTATTTTGATGTGGTTGTGCAAACCCCATTTACTTACACTCCCATCTTGACCCCCAATAAATTCTTTTTGGTGACTGATGCCCAGTCAAAATTTGTTTATAGTCAACTCTCCACCTGCCAGCCACTGACAACTATGATTCTATATTCTGTCTCAAGAAATATGATCACATAAAAAACCTTATATAATTGAAGCACATTACTTTTCCTTTCATATGATGTGTTTATTTCACTGACCACATGTCCTCAAGATACATCCAGGTGATAGCAGGTGACAGAAATCCTTTAATTTTTAATGCTGAATAATGTTCTTTTTTTATGTTCTACTTTTTAAAAAGATTTTATTTATCTTTAGAGGGGAAGGGAAGGACAGAGGAAGAGAAATATCAATGTATGGTTGCCTCTCATGCATCCCCTGCTGGCTGGCCTGCAACCCAGGCATGTGTCTTGACTGGGAATCGAACCACAATCCTTTGGTTCACAGGCCCATGCTCAATCCACTGAGCTGCACCAGCCAGGGCTGAATAATGTTCTATGGTTGTATAACTTACATTATGTTTACAAATTCATCTGTTGTGGGACGCTTGCAACATTTTGGCTGTTGTGAACAATACTGCTCTGGACAGGAGTGTGCATAACTCTTTTAGAGTCTTTATTTTCAGTTTGTAGGACATATAGCCATAAGTGGAATTGCTGAATTGTATGTTGATTCTATTTTCAATTTTTTGAGGAGCCTTCATACGCTTAGCTACCCCACCCCCCATTTTCCCTCATCATCCAGTGGATACACACATTAACATCCACAGTCTATGCCCATCTCCTGATCTCTAGACCTTCATCTCCACCTCTCTCCCTGACATCCTTCGTTAAATATCAAGTGACTGCTCGAAATGCATGTCACCCTCAAAACCCTGTTCTCTGAGTCCTGCATGCCACACAAGTCCATCCACCCAGGTGCTCCAGGAGAATACTTTGGCACCACCCTTGCCCCTCTCTTTCCTCACTACCCACATACATTAGAAAATTCAGTGAACTTGACCTTCAAATTATATCCTCCTTCTTGCACTGTGATCCTGGTCCTGGGGCCATCACCTCCTGCCAATCCTACTGTGCTGCTGCTCCTTTGTGCTGCCCGGGGCTAAGTCCAGATGACTATGGACAGAACAGCCATTGGGATCCTGGTAAAACAGGGACTAGTCTCATATCAACTCTCCTCAAGGCTCCAGAATCTTCCATGGGGTCTGCAGCCCACTGTGCCCACACCCATGCCTCCCTGGGCTGTCACATTGGCCCCTTGTTTCCACAACACCAACCCTACTTCTGCCTCACAGCCACTGCACTTAGTGTTCTTCCTTTTTTCCCCGCTCTTTTTGGGAACTTTTCTCTTAAATATACAAACTGCTTCCTCCTTCCCCCTATTCTTTATTCAGACATCACCTCTGCACACACTAAAAAACAAAAAACCTCAACCTCATATGTCACATGGCCATTTCTCTATGCAAATCTCTGTCAAACATTCATTAATATGTGACATGCTCTCATTTTATTTATTATTACTTATTTTCACTCTTATCTCCATAATGACAGCACTCTCAAGAGCTAAGAACATCTCAGTCTCTCTCTCTTTTTTTTTTAAAGATTTTATTTATTTATTTATCATGAGAGGGGAAAGAAAGGAGAAAGGGAGAGAAATAACAATGTATGGTTGCCTCTCATGAGTCCCCTGCTGGGAACTGTTCAGCAACCCAGGCATGTGCCTTGACTGGGAATCAAACTGCGATTCTTTGGTTCGCGAGCCTGTGCTCAATCCACTGAGCTACACCAGCCAGGGCCTCAGTCTCTTTTTTTTTATTGTGGCAAAATATCCAAAAAATAATACTTTCCATTTTCAACATTTTATAAAATATAATTCAGTGACACTAGTTATATTCATAATGTTTTGCAACTATCACCACTGTTCATTTCCAGCATTTGTACAGTTACACAATAACCCCCATTCCCTGTGCTGTCGATCTGAGCAACTACTGATCTCAATGAATTTGCTTACCTCAGCTCATACGAGCAGAATCATATATTTGTCCTTCTGTCTCTGTCTTTTTTCATTTATTATGTTGTTTTCAAGGGTAAATTCATGTTGGGGCAGGTGTCAGCATTCATTTGGTTCTCCTTAAGGCGGAAGGATGTTCCATTGTATGTATATACCTCCTTTGGTTCATCCATTCTTCTAAGGATGGAGCCTACAGTGGGTTCCGCAGCTACTTTGAATAAACAGATATGAACTATGAAGTAGGAGAACCTGTTTGAGTTGCTGAGTCCAATCCCTTCAATATATACCTGGGAATGGAGTTGCTGTGTCTTATAGTAATTTCAGGTTCAATTTTGGAGGAATCTCCAAAGGGTTTTCTATGAGGCTGCACCACTTTCACTCACACAAGCAATAAGCGAAAGGTTCCAGTTTGTCTCCAATCTTGGCCAAAAGTAACTTCCTGTTTTTTGAAATATAAAACATATGTCCTAGTGACTGTGAAACCATATTTAATTGCTAATTTCAGTGGCACTTCCCTGATAACTAATGTTGATGACCATATTTTTCATGTGCTTGTTGCTCATTTTTATACCTTGCTTGCAGGAGTATCTTTTCATGTCTTTTGGATGTTGGGTATTCTTGAAGGGGTGTTCCCCGATGCATCTCTGGAATCTACAATATACTAGTACATAATACTAGTACATAATAGGTGTCCAATGATGCTTCCTAAATGTGTCTACAAATGAGTGAATGTCACTCTGCTCATAAATGTACAATGACACACACACAGTGGTGTGACTGAGAGGGAGGGAGAATCAGGACTTGCAGAAGTAGAAATGGGGATGGAAGAGCATTTCAACCCAAGAAACGGCACATGCAAAGTCTCAGAGTCACCAAGTTCCTCTTCCAGCTGGGCGAGGAGATGATGTGAGATTCACAGACATGGTAAATCTTGTGCAACATTCAGCTGAGGATAGATCATGCCAAGTCCCCAGATCTAGCCTGTGCTGTTTTCACCTGGGTCTCAGGTCATGGAGAGGAACTGTCAGTGTTCATACTTAGCTGATAGTGGACAGTCTCTGGAACCACAATCTGGAGGCCTGTTTTGAGGGCAGAGATAGAAGTGAGAGGTTGATGCATTCAGAGACCCAGGGAAGAGATCAGACCACAGGCATAACCAGGGTCAGATGGGGAGGAGACGGAAATCAAGATGAGCTCTGATTAGGCACAGAAATGAACAAGACTTAGTGACTTTTTGGATTGGAAAGAAGGGAGGGAAGGCAAAGTAGAAAGGTACACCTCACTTCTGGCCTTAGAGTAGCAGGCCACCTTGTTACCACTATGAGAGTGAACCCAGCAAAGAAATGAACTTGGGAGAAAGGTGGCAGCTCAATTTTAGCAAAGCTGAGTGGAGCCATCTGGGGAAGCAAACAGGGAAGGTGTCTATTGGATGTTGGCAGGTGGGAGTCTGCCTCACTCACGTGTAGGGCCAACCTGGGATGATATTCTCATCCTCCACATTTTCTGCAGTCCGGGATGACTTCCTCATGCAGATCCTCACTCTGAGGAAACAGACTGTGAGACCAGGGTGTAATGGGCAGCAGACGCAGTTCCTTATTAGGAGCTAAAAGAGACACTGAGGCAGCAGTTGTCTGGTCTGGCCCCACAGACCACCCTGAGCACAGTGGGTACCTCCCATCCTGGAAGTTTGCTGGGTACTGCACTTCTGACAGCTGCCCATGAGGAATCTTCACCCACCAATCCATCAGCCCCCAGGTTGTTCCATTCTATGACCCATTCCTATCCCATTACTAGTTCTGGACTCAGTCACATACCTCCTGTCTTCCCCTTGCCCCCCTTTCTTCCTGGGGCTGAACTCACATGAGGATGATGAGGCAGAGGAGAAGGACCAGGGTCTTGACAGCTGCTTCTGCAATGGCCACGAGCACCACCCCTGCTCTGAGTCCTAAGAGATGATGAATGGGAGATGACACACATTCAAATAGACACCATAGCACCATAAAATTCCACTGACCTCAAAGGAAAGGGTGGTGGCACACTGAATAAACTTGTGCACCTCACATTACACAGAAACATCTAATTACTCTACATTGAAAAATGTTTCCAGGAATGAATAATAAAATTTAAGGTATAGAGTAGAAGACTGAGCAAAGGATAGAGACAGATAGCTCACAGAATCAAAGACACACCAATAACTCTTATTTCTAAAACTCACTCTGCACCATTTATAATGAGATAAATGCTCAATAAAACTTCATGGAGAATGTGGTTTTCACCTGATATTGTGAATGTTCTAAGTGTCTCATCTCACCCTGTTCCTGCGCAATGGTCCAACCTTAATGGGAAGCAGTTTGACAAGTTTTCAAATATGGAGGATGTGGAGAAAAGAGAAGCCTTGTGCACTGTTGCTGTGAGTGTAAACCAGTGCAGCCACTATGCATAACTGTAGAGAGGCTCCTTAAATAAAAACAAACAAAAAATAAAGCTAGGAAACACTGACATATGATGCAGCAATCCTACTCTCTGGTATTTATCTAAAAAAAATGAAACCACCAACTAGAAAATGCATTGCATCCCCATGTTCATTGCAGCATTATTTACAATAATAGAAATTTCCCAAGATCACGAAATGCTCAATTCTCAGAACAGTGTCTCTAGCCAGAGCAGAGACACCGACTTGAATATATGGCACATTCAAATCCAACATTGAAATGGTCCATGGCATTGGAGTGAATGCCCTAGAATAAAGGCAACACCCAACATTTCATAGGAGACAGATTACAAATTACAGCCTTTAAAATACTAGCCCAAGACGCAAGTGACTTTACTGCCTTCAAGGAAAGGACCAATGTTCTTTAAAGAAATACAACAAACCAAGCAGTCAGCCACATGAAATGGACAATTCTGTCACTCAGAGAAAAGTTACGAGGCATATGAAGAAATATGAATGTGCAACACTTCAGAAGAGAAAAACCGTTCATGAAATCATTCTCAGACATGACTGAGGAGATGGCTTTACCAAACAAAGACATGAAGAGATTTCTTACAATATGTTTCATATACTCAAAAATGTAAAAAAGAGCCCTGGTTCATGTGGCTCAGTCGATTGAGTGCCGGCTTGTGAAGCAAAGCATTGCTGGTTTGATTCCCAGCCAGGGAACATGCTTAGGTTGCAGACCAGGCCCCCAGTAGGGGTCACACAAGAAGGAATCACACATTGATGTTTGTCTCCCTTTTTTGCCCCTTACTTCCTCTCTCTCTAAAAATAAATAAATCTTAAAGAAGAGCATTACCATAAAAAAAGAAGAAAACTAAGATAACAAGCTAAGGAAACTTAACTTCTAGGGGAGAAAAATCCATGATCTGAAACTCTAATGTCACTGAATGAGGTTAACAGCAGGATCAACTCGGTGAATAATCAATAATCTTGTACATGTAACAATAGCTCCTGTTACAACTGACAGATACAGAGAATAAGAGACAAATAAAGGTGCACAGATGCTCCCTGATGTGAGAGATAATATCAGGCAATGTAACTTGTGTAAAATTGCAGACCCAGAGAAGAACAGAAAGGAAGAATAAAAATATATATATATATGTAATTAGCTTCAATATTTTAAAATTTGATTAAACCCATAAATCCAAATCCAAAGCACTCAACAAATTCCCAATAGGATTAAATCTCTCTTTCATTCACTCTCTCTCTCTCTCTCTCACACACAGACACACACACACACACTTACAATACACATCAAAACAGCTGCTAATCTAATCATTTAGCCCAGTTAAAGAAACGTGAACACCTGCCAGAGAAAGACACAAACTTCAAGTAAGGAAAGAAATAAAAATTACAGCAGAATTCTCCTAAGAAACTATGAAAGCCAAAAGAAGTTAAAGAACTAAAAATGCAAAAAAGATTTTTTAGATTTCCTCATCTAGAAAAAATATCTTCCAAAGCTAATATAAATATAAGTCTTTTTCAAATAACTGTTAAGAGAATTTATCACTAGCATACCTACACTATAAAAAATATACAAAAAGATCTTCAGGCCAAAAAAAATTATAGGGAGGGGCAGGTGGAGGAAGATGATCAAAATAACCCTTCCAGCCCTGGCTGGTGTAGCTCAGTGGATTGAGCAGGGGCCTGTGAACCAGACAATCGTGATTCGATTCCCAGTCAGGGCACATGCCTGGGTTGTAGGCCGGTTCCCTGCAGGCCAATTCCCAGCAGGGGACGCATGAAAGGCAACCATACATTGATGTTTCTCCTCCTCTCTCCTTCCCTTCCCCTCTAAAGATAAATAAATAAAAATCTTTAAAAGAATAACCCTTCCAATTATAATAAGTATTAGGGATGTAATGTATAATGAGTTGACTATAGCCAATATACCTGTACGATATATAAAAAAGTTGAAAATGTCATCCCTTCTCAGCCTTTTGGATAAGATCAAGTGTAAAAAAGTAAAAAATGTGTATATCCAGAGTTTTAATCATACACTGAAATATTTGTTTTCCTTTCCTTACTTTTTACTGCATCTGTATGAGAAGATGAATGTAAGTTGAACCTACCATGGTGGTCTAATCATATCACAATGTACATACATCGAACCATCATTCTGTATTGCTTAATCTTATATACTAAAAAGAATCAATTAGCTATCAATAACACAGAAAAAGGAAAAAGATACTATAGAAGAATTTGAATTACATAAAAAAGAAAAGCAATTGGTCAGGTCCACATGGAGCAGGATAAAGGAGCTTATTTTTCTAATTATAAATATATTTATAATTCACCCTTTGAAAATAATATTATGAGATTTATAACAATATACTATGGGGTTAAATAATGGGCTTATCAAAACCACATTAAGGTAAGCACTTGTCCTCCCAACCACTGAGGGAGAAATATCAGAAAAAGTCCTGGGAACCAAAGGTAAAGAATTATTTCTGAATGAGACACAAGGTCAAGTTATTCAGCACCTCCTTGCTCCACAAAGCTGTGCCAGGTGGGTGTCAGGACACAATGGTTTGACGGACCTTCATCCACCTGCCCAAGCTCAGGAGCCCAGACCTCAGCACCACCTGGAAGATGGGGCTCAGTCTCTCCTTGCAGCCTGGTCTTTATGGGAGTCTCTGAACCAGTGGGAGACATAAGTCTTGAAATGAGAGACAAGTGCTTTGGAGAGTTTGCTCTGGAGAGAATGAGATGTGTGAAGCCACAGTGATGTCCCCAAATCCAAGAGACCTTGAGCAGGGCTCCTTGTCTGGTATAGTAGATTCAGGTGTTGAGACAACCAGCCCCCATGAGGTTCCCCCATGGGAAGGATGAGGTTCAGGGGCCAGGAGCCCTGCTGCTCCCCACAGATCTGGGGGTAGGAGTGAGAAATGCCTGGGAGAAGAAGAGGGGACAAGGTGGAGAGGTATTTTTCTGTAAGTCCACATCTTAGTCCTCCTCATGGTTCCACCTCACAGTGCAGGTGTCCTGCTAATACTCACCCTGCACAACTAGGTTCAGGGAGATGTGGTAGGAGATCCGTGGGTGGTAAGCTCGACAGGTGAACTCCCCTGCATCTGCCACCATGACCTGAGGCAGCTCCAGGACCCCCGGATCCAAGGGATTGGAAGGGCTCAGAGTCAGGCTCCCCCTGGACCAGCTCAGCCTCCCTGGGGGGTTGCCATCTGTCTCACAGACCAAGCGCAGGGACTGGCCCTCCTGGACATGCAGGGAGGTGGTGTTGCCCAAGACCTCTGGAACTAAGGAAACAGAGAGACCGAGGGCAGGGCTGGGAACTGCTCTCTCCTCTGCCCACCCCCAGACACAGGAATGGGAAACAGCATCTCTGAGACAAGAACAGCTAGCAAGGGCCAGTGGGGGTGAAGGTGCATGAGGTGAGGTGTGGGCAGGAGAAGCCAGCTGCTGCTCCCAGAACTGGGGGTGGCATTTGAGGAAGAGTTAGTCACATGGACACCTGGGAGAGCACCCTCAGTGGGTAGACTTTGCTATGAGAAGCTGTGCAGAGGTGCTGATGCAGGCAAGGCTGGCCATTGGAGGATCACACACAGGTGAAGCTCTCAGCCTCTCCCCTGAGGGAGGAGGCAGCCATGGTGTATTTTGAGCAGGGGAGGAATAGGGTCACATGTGGGGTATGTGGAGATGATTTGGGGGCCCAAATTGTGGCAGCCTGGAGGGGGCAGAGACTCCAGGGCCTGTCCCACCTGTGCTGTTCTCCCAGAAGACATGAACAGTCATGTTCTGTGGAGCATCTGTAAGAGAATTAAGTAATTGGCCAGGTGCAGTATGATGGGCTGGTCATGAGGAAGGTGGTGGGTCTGGGTGTTCTCTCCATCCTCACCCCAGCCATGCTCAGGAGAATAGTCTCCAATTATCATCCACCCATCCCTGCTCCCCCAACACCCAGACCTGGCGTCCTGGCTGAGTACTCACACACAGTGAGCTGGATGGTCCTCTCTGTGCTCACGTTAGCTCCAGGGAAAATCACCTGACAGGTGAGTTTGGTGCCATGGTCCTCAGGCACTGGTGTGAGAGTGACCACTGAGGAGTTGAAAGTTCCAGAAGCCAAGGAGGTAATGTTGACCCCCATCCAGTAGAATTTGGGTAGTGTGCCTCTCTCACAGGCCCAGGGCACCATGCAGGTAATGCTCTTAGCGTGCCCGGATTCTAGGAACCCCTGGAAGTGGATGTCTGGTGTCTGTGACAGAGCTGGAGAAGAGAGATAGAGACCCAGACCCTTCAGGTGGAGTCCCTGAGTTTGGCTTCACTAGCAGCTTCTGTGCCAGGCCAGCCCCTGGTTGCTCCACGCTGGATCCCTCTGAAGTTTTCCTAGGATAAGGAGCAGGGTGTCCCATGCTGTCCCTGTTCTGGGTGTCCTCAAGACTCATTTGTGTGTCCTCTCCTTGGCCCAGTTCCTTACCTGTCACATGCACTGAGAGCAGGTTTTCTTTGTAACCATATTTCACATAGGGTCCTCTCTCCACCCTAAAGAAGTATCCCCCTGTGTCTCTTCTCTGTGCGTCTCTGATGTGCAGGGAGCAGTTGTAAGTCTGGGGGTCTCCAATGAGGTGGAATCGGCCCCTGGTCTCCAACGCGACTTTACGATTGGGGTTGTTTGTGGCCACAGGATCATCCTCACCTGACTTGGCCCCTTCCTGGAACCAGTAGCCATAAGCAGGGGTAGACTCGTTCCAGTCTTTCTTGGGGTAGATCACAGTGCAGGGCACAGAGACACACAGGCCCTCCTGCACTGTCACGGAACCCTGTACATACAGCTGGAATTGTGGATCCTGAGCCAGGGACCCTGTGGGGAAAGGAGGGTCAGCCTTAGCCTCCACCCCAGCCCACACACTCTCCCCTGGGGCACTCACCGGCCCACAGCAGGGCTGGCAGCAGCAACAGCATCTCTGGAGGGTTTCGGGGCTCCTGTGGGTGCAAAGAGAAGGAAGGCAGTGGAAGAGGGCCTGCAGGGAGTGAGTCCCACGGAAGCTGGGGAGCAGCATAGGAACTCCCCTTCCACAGAAGAGGAACCAACAAGCTTGAGTCTGTCCCACATATGCAGAGTCCGTGGACACCCCATAGCTCAGAGACTCCAGAGACCTGCCCAGAGAGGAGTGGTCAGGGAGCAGACCCTGGTCCTGTCCCATCTAGGTGAGGTCCCTACAGGACCAGGACCTCTGAGAATGGGACACATGAGTCTCCTCCAACACCTACTCCTGGCATATTGCCTTTTAAAAAAGAAATCAGCCCTGGCTGGTGTAGCTCAGTGGATTGAGCTTGGGCCTGCGAAGCATAGGGTGGCAGTTCAATTCCCACTCAGGGCACATGCCTGGGTTGCCAGCCAGGTCCCCAAAAGGGGGTACTTGAGAAGCAACCACACATTGATGTTTCTCTCCCTCTCTCCCTCCCTTCTCCTCTGTCTAAAAATAAATGAATACAATCTTTAAAAAATAAAAATGAAATCAGGACAACGACCTCATGGGTTGTTCTTTGTGCACACTATATGAAGAAGAAGCATTTTATCTTGGTGTGTAGTAGTTTTGACAATATGCTGGCACAGCAGGAAGTGGACTGTGACCCAATCTCAGGAAACCTGAAAAACAGTGCAAAGGGCTGCCCCTAGTGGCCGAATTGCGTCAGTGTGTCAGGTTTTCATTTTATCAGGGCTGGAGATGCTGGTGAATATAGTCCTCCCTGAACAAAGGTTCAGGGTTTGAAGAAGATATTTGAGAATTTTCCCACTTACTACAGATTTTAAGTTTATAGGCTTTAAAGTTTTTCGTTGTTTTTTTTGTTTAATTTCTGCTACATAAGGGGATGTCTTCTTTATGTTCTCAGATGCTGGTTACTCAGTCTTCTGTAGTTATTTCTGGACTAACTGAACTTTGTCATCTTTACTGTTCTATAAAAGAACTAAAACTTCACGATGTTCATCTGTATTGAATAGTTTTTCTATTACACGTGGTCTTAATTTGGTATTTCCTTTCTTCAATTTTTTTCATTTATTTTACTGTTATTTTCCTAAGTTATTTTAAATAAAGTCTTAACTTATTAAATTTTAGCTCTTCTTCATCAGATATAGACATATGAAATTATATGTATTTCTTCTAATAGCCACTTTACTTTTACAGTATATGTTTTATAGTCAGTATTTTATTATTACTTAATTTTAAATAATTTTAAATTTGCATATTTTATGCTTGACTTATAAGGGATTTTTTGAATTTCTACTAATATTTACATGGGTAGTGATACATATTTATGACAATATAATATGTAAACATATATTATATATTTATGACTATAAGAGCTGACCCCCCCAAAAAAATCCCAGAATTATCTTCTGTAGAGTGGGCCCCTTGTAGTACCAGAGTCCCCCACTAGGTGGGTGTTCCAGAACCCATCTGTGTGTGTGTACCAGCTAGTATTATTGTGAGGGGCTCTGTTCAGCTTCAGTGATTTTTTTTCCTTTGAAGACTATTTTTTAAAGATGTTTGCCTATTTCATAACGGAAAATTTATGAGTGCACCTGCTCATACCACGCTGAGTGTTCAGCAGTTTTTGATCAAAAATGGCATGACCCTTGTGCTCCACCCTCCTTATTCACCCGATCTTGCCCTGAGCAACATTTTTTTGTTTTCCCAGATGAAAAATGTCCTGAAAGGGAGATGTTTTGCTGATGCAGAAGAGGTGGAACAAAAAATGGCAGAAGCACTAAAAGGTATCAAAACTGACAAGTTCAAAAACTCTTCTGAGCAGTGGAAAAGGCATCTCAATAGGCATATAGCATCAAATGGAGAGTATTTTTAAGGTGACTGAAGTTTAAACATGTAATAACAAGTATGCAAATTTTTATAAACAAATTCTGTTTTTTTAGGACTCTCTCATTTATTATATAATCAAACATAATATAAATATAATAGTGCTTTTGTTATTTATTTCTAGCTTAATCAACTTGGAACCAGAGAATATATTCTGCATGATTTCAATCAACTTTCATATGTTGAAATTTTACTTTCTGTGGTCCAATACACGAAACAGTATTTTGGAATATTTTGTGTGTGTGTGTGTGATCAAATAGAATGCATATTCTGTCATCATTGAGACAACTTTTCTATCTGTGGCTGTAGGTCAAGTCCTTAATAGTGCTGTTTACATGTAGTATAATTACATTTCCTGAGTGATTTCCTTGTCTCTGTGTTTTATAAATTATTGTAATATATATTAAAATTCTCTGTAGAAATGTGGCTCAGTTTAGTTTTTTAAAAACTTTTCCAGTTTTTCCTTATGTTGTCATATGCATGCACATTTCAAATGTTATCCGTTCCTGGTAGATCAAATCTTTCATCATGATGAAGTGGTCCCATTTATCTTCATTAACACTCTGTATTATAAAGTATATATTTTCTGATATTAATACACTTGTGAAGGTCAGCAACCCTCAGAAAAAGTCAATCAAACACTAATCTAGGTTTTACTTAGATCTAGCTTAATCAACATATTACACATTTCCCCCTACTCTGACTATATTTGTATTTTATTGAGAGCATAAAGTCCATTTGTGCTTAATGTGATTTAAAAAAATGTATTTGGGTCTAAATATGTAATTTTATATTTGTACTCTATATGTTCTATTCTCTTTTTTCCCTCTTAATCTCTCATCTCTTGCTCTCTTTGGTTTGATTGGAAAATATTTCTAGAACCTCTTATACTTCTTCTAGTTTGGAGATGATAAACCTGGAGTCAATTCTTTTAGGAAATTTCCTTGAGCTTGCAACAGCAAAATAGCAAAATCAAAGCCTATCATAACATTTTGTTTTCTCCTGAATAACATAAAGCCTTTATCAGATCAAAATTCTATTTACACTTTCCTGAATTATGTTACAATAGTATAGCATTTCAATATTATTTTTATGTTTGACCCCTTTACACATTGTCATCTTTCACAATAGTATTGGTTTCTTTTAGCTCACATACTTGTCACTTTCTCTTTTATTGGCTTTTAGAGAGAACAGAGAGAGGAAGTGGGGAAGGACAGTGAGAAAGAGAAATACTGATTTGTTGTTCAGCTTACTTATGCATTCATTGGTTGCTTCTTGTTTATGCTTTAACTGGAGCTTGAACCTGAACCTTGGCATATTGGGATGATGCTCTAACCCACTGAGCTATCAGCCAGGGCAAAGATAAGATCTTTAAAGAGATACTTCAGTTCAAGTTGAGGTTATTAGGTTGGGCCTTAATCTACTACATGTGGCATCCTTATCAGGAGAGGAGATCTGGACCACAGAGGGAGGACCACGTGAAGACACGGAGAGAAGACAACCGTCAACAAGCCAAGGGGAGAAGCCTCAGAAGACACCAAGCCTGCGGACACATTGATTGAAGACTTCCGGCCTCCAGAACTGTGAGCAGTAATTACTCATTTGTGTGTCTTGATCTCTGAGTACACAGTGTTGGTGCCTTCCTGTTCCTGAAGCTTCAGATTGTGAAATCTGACAAAGGCATAGTGGAGCCCCTGCTCCTCTTCTGCAATGGGCCTGGCACCACCAGGGGCTGGGTGAGCTGAAGGGCTGTCTGTCAACGGAGGCTGATGCACCTGAGTGGAAAAAAGAGCAAGGACTCAGAGCTCCTCAAAGGTGTCTGGGAGAAAGAAGCCAAGGGCCAGGATGGGGTTGGGACAGGTGGAACTCTTATCATTTACCTGTCCATTTATGTTAAAATATTTAATAATTAAGATTGGCCAGTCCTTAGAGAGTGTTTGTATTGAGCACATTGTATTCTTTTAAGAAATCCTGGGAGAGGAAGCTATGGTCATATTTACCTCACAAAGAAGTAAAACAAAGACTAAGAAAAATTAGACACACATCTATGTAAATGTGCCACTGAGCTACGAGGTCAATACTTGTCTTTTTAACAACAGTGTCTTCTTTTGTTTGGGTAGGTTATGATTTTCTAGGGTAGGCAGTTACTAGACAAATAGAAAACACATACGTTTCAAGTTCTAAATGTGGGATGGAAGGTATTTTAAAACATAAAGCAGGAGCAAGGGTAGCATATCCTAGAAGACAGAGCGGAGACCAGGTCTTGCAGCAACTGGACCCCCTCGCCCATATCTACTCCCTGCCCACAACACTGTCAGACTCCAGAAGCATGAACCAGAAACCCTTAAACAGAAGCTATTTAAAAAAAAATGAAGGCCCTGGCTGGTGTGGCTCAGTGTACTAAAAAAAAATGAGCCCTGGCTGGTGTAGCTCAGTGGATTGAGCGCAGGCCTGCGAACCACACGATCGCAGTTCGATTCCCAGTCAGGGCACATGCCTGGGTTGCAGGCCGGTTCCCTGTAGGCCAGTTCCCAGAAGGTTTGCAGGCCAGTTCCTAGCAGGGGACTCATGAGAGGCAACCATACATTGATGTTTCTCTCCCTCTCTCCTTCCCCTCTACAGATAAATAAATAAAATCTTTTTAAAAAATGTTTAAAAAAATGAAATACTGCCATTTGAGACAACATGGATAGTATCATGTTCAATGAAATAAGTTAGAGGGAAAGGGACAAAAACCATATGGTTTCACTCACATGTAGTTACAAAACAAATCAGCAAACAAAAGGAACTCACAGGCACAGCCAACAGAACCAGAGGATGGTTACCAGGGATTTCAGGGGAGGAGGAAGAGGGTAAAGGGGACCAAACACTGGTGATGAAAGAGACTAGACTTTGGGTGGTGAGCATACAATGGAGCATACAGATATTGTATTATAAAATTGTACGCCTGGAATGTATATGATGTTATTAACCAATGTTATCCCAATAAACTTAATTTTAAAAAGAAAAAAGCACCCTGGCTGGTGTGGCTCAGTGGATTGAGTGCCAGCTTGTGAACCAAAGGGTTGCCAGTCTGATTCCCAGTTGGGGAACAGGCATGGGTTGTAAACCAGGTGCCCAGTAGGGGGCGCTTGAGAAGCAACCACACATTGATGTTTCTCTCCTCTTTCTCCCTCCCTTCCCCTCTGTCTAAAAATAAAAATAAATAAAATCTTTTTTAAAAAATTAAAAAAACCCAGATTGAGAACAAAAACTCATCAAACTGTACACCTGAGATATTTGCATTTTGTTGCATGGGGACACACACACAAAAAATTCCAGGGTAGAAGATAATCTGACATACGAGGCTTGAATACCCACCCAACAAATCAATTGGGCCATGTACAGATTCTACCAGAAGCAGCAGCATTAGAGCAGTTGAATCAATTATTTAAACTGACTACTTGTGGAATTCCCCAAAATGTTGGACATCTAACATTAAAATGTCTAAACGCCCCTATGCAGGGCAGCATCCAAAAGGAATAATGATGAATGGGAGCTATGTCCTGTCACTCACCCTGGAGCCTGAGATCACGGCTGGGTTCATGTCATTGTCCATTCTCTGCAGCTGCTGAGATGCTTTTCCCCTGCAGGTCTTCACTCTACGGAAACAACCCCCAGGAATTTCAGCCTGGTTATTTGGGGCATGGAGTAGGCAGACCATCCCTACTCCCTACAGAGAGCATGCAGTGATGTGGGTGGAGGTGGGCCCTGTCTCCAGGGGCTTCCCTAACCCAAGGACTGGACCAGGAGTAGTTGGGAAAAACTACTTGGCCGTACTTGGTCCAGTTGATTATGGGCTGATTCTCGCCAGCACTCAACCTCCCTTCTGTGGCTCCTGGCTTTCCCACCAATCCAGGGTCCTCCAGCTCAGATTTTGTGAGATTTAGAGACCTTAAACCCTTCCCACCCCAGACCCCTCCCTCTGTCCCTGGACCTCACTCTCACCTGAAGATGAGACAAAGGCAAAGGGAGAGCAGAGCCAGGGCCGTGATGCCAGCTCCCCCGACCACTCCCACGGCCCCACAGTCCCTGGGCTCTGGTTTACCTGTAGATAATTTGAGTTTCGTGTAAACCCCAACCCCAGTCCACAGCATCCTCCACACTGGCCACTTCTGTCTCTCTGTTCCATTAGCTCACTCCTCCTTCAGGATTCCATCCCTCAGTTTTCTGTTGCTTTGTAGGCCCTGGACCAGGCCCTTCCCTTCCTGACTCCCTTTCCCTGACCTCAGGACTCAGGATCTCAAACCTCCAGCCACTTGGGCCCAAGCCTTAAAATGCCTCTTCTCCAAGCTCCATCTCTCTGGGGCAGTTATGGCTTGAATTGTGTGCCCCCATCATCCATATGTTGCAATCCTAACCCTCCAGTACCCACCCCCATCACCCCATACCTCAGAACGTAACCTTATTTGGAGATAGGGTATTTGCAGAGGTAATAATTACAATGAGATTGCTAGGGTGAACCCTTAATCCAATATACGTGATGTCCTCATAAAAATGTAGAATTTGCATGCACACACACAGGGAGAAGGCCACATGAATAGGGATGAGAGTGATGCTTGTACAAGCCAAGGAATGCCAAAGATTGCCAGCCAATCCCCAGAAGCTAGGGGAGACTGGCAACACACCCAGAGCCTCAGAAGGAATCAACCCTGCTGACGCCTTGACCTTGGACTTCCAGCTTCCAGAACTGTGAGACAATAAGCCTCCCTCTTTAATCATGTCAGTCACACAGCCTCCTATTCCCTCAGGCATCACCCCCACCCTCCAACAGACCCCTGCAGCAGCAGGACAGTGGCGCTCTGGGCCCCATGGACATTCCCAACCTGGTAGCTGAGTGTGAGGCCGGCGCTGAGCCCTGTGCAGAGAAGCTCAAGGAGCTGTTGGCCCAGGGCCCCGCGGAGCTGGAGGTGACTGTGTAGGAGGCGTTGCTGGGATTCCCCTCCAGCAGCTCCTCCCCCAGCCGCTAGCGCAGTGAAGGGATTGGCTGGACTCTGGAGGAGCAGCTGCAGCAGAGACCACCCCCCTCCCAGGAGCAGTAGGGTCCCAGCAGCTGTGGGGCGGGGGTGTGGGGAGCGAGGACTAGGATCCCTCCCAGTGTGGTAGGCAGTTAGACAGCCATGAGCACAGAAAAGACGGCAGCCAGGCGCAGAAGGTCACCAGGGTGGTACTTAGCAACGGGCAAAACTGGGAAAACAAGGACCTTGCTCCTGGGGAAACCTTTCCTCCCCCTGCACATCTCATCATGCAGTTTGGACCCTCCTCTGAATCTGCCCTCCCCTCCCTGGCATGTTGCTAGTCACACGGGTGAGACCCCCTTAAAGGAGGAAGGAACAAGGCGGGCCGGAGAACCAGAGAATAACCGTTAAGCATTGAGCTCCCAAGATGATGAGGTTCTGACCCACATCAAATGCATTTAAAGCCTCAGTCGTCTCTCAGCTCCAGGCCCAGAAAAGCAGCAAAAACAGACAAGTGATGCCAGGGCTGACTGAGGTCAGGACCAGCTGCACTGACTAATGACCCCTGGTGCCAACCAATCGGTAGAGACCAGGACCCTGAAAGGACACACCTGGAAAGTTAAGGAACATTCTATTGGGATCCTCCCCCAACCCTAGGTCTCCAGATAAATACCCTTAAGGCAGGGGTGTCAAACTCATTTTCACGGCAGGGGGTGGGGGCACATCAGCCTCACAGTTGCCTTCAAAGGGCCGAAATAACTTTAGGACTGTATGAATGTAACTTCCTTGACTGTTAAGGAGTTGAAATTACTTTCAGCCCTTGGAAGGCAACCGCAGGGCTGATGTGTCCCCCAGTGAAAATGAGTTTGACACCCTTGACTTAAGACAGAGGACCCAACCTGCTCTCCCTTCTGGAAGCCAGGGTGGCACACTTGCACCTTCCCCCCTCGAGCAGTTACCTTTATTCTTCTCTCCCCTAAGCTCCAAGGGCCCCTTCTTTTGCATCTGTAACTTGTGTCCTCAGCCCATTTCTCCTATGGCTCACTTCTTCTACCTCTGTGACTTTCTAAACAAACTTTTAGAGTTTGGGTCTTGGCTCTGAAATCTTTCTCAGCCAGAACTCAAGGACTGAGGTTGCAGAACCCAGGTCCAGTCTGATACCATTAGTGTAACCGCTGGTGCCGTTCTTGCTCCTGCCAACACCAGGACCCAGCTGCTGGGCCCCCCAGGGTCCCCCACGCCTCCACTCACAGTGCACAGAGGGGCTCAGTGAGACAGGGAGGGAGCCGAGCAGGTCCTGAATAGGCAGATGAGTTCACCTTCATGCTCCATTTGTATCCGAGGCAGCTCCAGGACCCCAGGTGCTGAGGGCTGGGACTGGCTCAGAGCTTTTTCCTCCAGGGACCTGCTCAGCGTGAGTCCACCCACTCACAGGACTCAGTGTCTTGTCTTCCAACCTTCTTGCAGAACCGGCTGTAGCTTCTGTTCAGGCAAGAGGCCAGAGGTGTCCCGTTCTAGGAAATCACCTGCTTCCTAGCCTTAGCCGCTTTCTGCAGCTCCATCCTCCCTATGATCCCTTTCTTTCTCCCTCAGCCTCCGCCCCCCGCAGGCCCCTGACCTGGCAGCAGCAGCAGGACACTGGCGCTCTGGGCCCCATGCACATTCTCCACTTCGCAGCTGAGTCTGAGCTCAGAGCCAAGCCCCGCGTGGAGGTTCAGGGAGCTGTTGGCCCAGGGCCCCTCTGAGCTGGAGGTGACTGTATAGGAGGTGTTGCTGTTGTTCATCTCCAGCAGCCCTTCCCCCAGCCGCCAGCGCAGCAAGGGGGCTGGCTGGGCTTGAGAGGAGCAGCTGCAGTTCAGATTCTCATCCTCCCAGGAGCAGGAGTGTCCCAGCAGCCGTGGGGGGTCTGTGGGGAGTGAGGAGATGGGTCAGCGATGCCTCTGCCCTCCCAGGACTCGGGTGCCCTGCCCCCAGGCTTCCCCACACTCACAGACCACAGAGAGGCTGAGAGAGAGATTTTGGGAGCCCAGTGGGTGCTGAGCTTGGCAGGTATACTGTCCTTCTTCTGCAGTCCCCACGCAAGGCAGCTCCAGGATCCCGGTGTTGGAGATGAAGGTGGTGTTCATGGCTGGGAACCCCCGGAACCAGCTCAGCACTGCAGGGGGGTTGCTGTCAGCCACACAGAGCAACCTCAGAGCCTCGCCCTCCAGGGTGGAAAGGGATGTGGTTTGCAGAATCTTGAGGCCTTTGGGGGGAGATTTGGAGAAAGAGAGAGAGAGAGAGAGAGAGAGAGAGAGAGAGATGGAATGAGAAAAGCTGGAACCTCTCTCCTCCTGTGATGTCCACTCTAGGCTCTGAGGAGGGCCTGGCAGCATCCTGGCCCTACACACCTTCAGGAAGGGCCCAAAGGATTTCCCTCAAGTCACCCAGGCTGTCTGTGCAGCAGATGGATGACAAACAAGTGTAGTCGTGGGCCAAAGAAGAGAAGACAGAAGTGGGAGGGTATAAAACATCAGAGGGAAGGCTGAAGCCAGAGCGGTGTAAGCTTCCTTTGCATTTGGCCACAGAATGATGTTGCAAGGAGGGTACTTTTCATCTGATCTCAATAGCTGGCTTCCCCTACATATTATTCTTCTTAGGAGCTCTGGAACTGGCCTAGACCCTGAGACCATCCTAGCCCTGGGGAGCAGAGGTCTTTTCTTACCTGTGCTGTTTCCTTGGATGATGTGGACGGCCATGTTCTGTGGAGCATCTGGGACAGAAGAATGTGGCAGCCTCAACATCCGTGGTGACAGATATGTAGGCCCTTCCCCGCCCCTCAGGAGCCATGGAAACAGGTGAGGGGGTTCCTTTCCTATTGGTCTACCAGGACCCCAATTTCAAACCCCTGGCCCAGCACTCACAGGTGATATTGAGCTGGATGGTTGTCTCCACAGTCACATCTGTTGCAGGAAACCACACCTGACAGGTGAGTTTGGTTCCGTGGTCCTTGGGCTGTGGGGTGAGGGTGAGCGTGGAGGAGAGGTATGTCCTGGGGCCCAGGGAGGTATGAGCAGCTGACATCCAGGAGAAGAGGGGGGGTGTGCCCCGCTCACAGGCCCAGGGCACAGAGCAGGTCAAGTCCGTGGGGCGGCCGGACTCCAGGGTCCCCGGGATGAGGATGTCAGGTGTGTGGTTGAGGGCTGGAGTGAAGAGAGAAGGTTAGGACCCCTTGCTCTGTTGTCAGCCTCCCCCAGGGTCTTGATTCCACTGTCCCTACCCCCACCCCCAGGGGCCTTCATTTCTGTTTTTCTGGTACCCCACACCCTGCAGCTTTTCCTTGGGCCACTTTCATACCTGTCACTTTCAGAAAGAGCATCTCGTCTGTATAGGAGTGTGTATTCGCGAAGTAATTTTCTATTCGTAAAAAGTATAGCCCACTGTCCCTCATGTGGACGTCTCTGATGCTCAGGGAGCAGTCGTTGGACAGGGGGTCCTTGGGGAGGAAGAACCGGCCCTGGGTCCTCTCCAGCACCTTCTGTCCAGGTTTATTTGTGGCCACTAGAAGATCATGGTTTGTATTCACTCCTTTTTTAAGCCAAAAAATGTAATGGGTTTTAGAGATAAACCAGGAATGGGAAAATTTGCAGGGCACCACGACACACAGGCTCTCCTGCACTGTTACCAACTTTTGTAGTTTCAGCCAGGACCTCGAACCCTGAGCCAGGGGCCCTGGAGAGAGAGGGAGAGAGAGAGAGAGAAACTCAGCCTGGAGCTTCGGGACCTCCTCCCGCATGGGTGTCCCTTTCCCCCTCACCCACTCACCTCCCCAAAGCATGAGCAACAGCAGCCTCAGCAGCATCCCTTCCTCATGCCTGGAGGCAGTTCACCTTCTGCAGCCCCATCTGAGAGAGAATGGAAAGATGCAGATAAGGGAGGGCAGAAGAAGCTTAGACCGGAAGCCTGTGGTGAGAACGAAAAGTCACAAGGCCAGAAGAAGGAACTTCTTCCAGCACCATTTCTGCATGTGGCAAATGAACCCTCAGGCTCAGAGGAGGTGAGAAACTAGCCTAGCTAAAGCAACAAGGGAGGAGGAGAGCCCCCAAGGCCTGATTGCAGGCACACTCATCTGCACCAGAGGGGCAGGTCTCACCTGGCCAGGTGCCTGACATCCATGGACTTGGGGCCCACATGGTGGTGGTCTGCTAGGGATGAGTCTCAGAGTAGCCTATATGGGCACCAGCAGCAGAGAAGGCAGCAGAAGAGGCAACAGAAACACCACACACCTTCACTCATTTCATTCGTTCATTCATTTGCAAACTAACAAAAAGGATTTGAATCAGTCCTGATCTTCCACTAGTTCAAGCAATGAGAGAAGACAGACATGCAGAGGGGCTACAGCTTTATCAGAAGGCAATGGGGAGCCATGGAAGGTTATTAAACAAGAAAGAGGCAGGGGTGTATGGGAATCAGCATGGTCCCTCTGAGGCCAGTGTAGGGAAGAGCTAGAAGGGAGAGACGGGTGGCTCAGGCACCAGAGAGGAGACGCTTGTGGGTTGTGATTGTTCAGGGAGGGGAGAACACACCTGCATGGTGATGGAGGAAAGATTTGAGATGGGAGGCCCTTTGAGAAAGTGAAGTTTGAAGGGAGGTGTGGTGAATGGGGCAGGTATGTGTCTCAAGTGATTCTCAGAGCCCAGGGATGGGGGATGGAGGTGCGGTCACCAACAGCACAGTAAACATGCAGGTCTGGGCTGGGAAGAAAGTTGTAGGAAGACAGCAGAGTTGGCCCCTGGGGTTCTTTCCTGGGGACCTTTCCTGGGGACATCTCTAGATGGGATACCCTATGTATCCCATCCAGAGACAGCGCCCTGTATTGAGAGACAAATGTCACATAATTCCTCTCTGTTGTGAAATATTCCCACTCCCCTGAATCTCAGAGAGCAACTGTGGGCCTGTAGGTCCCCACAGAGGTTGGAATTGGTCTCAGGTTCTCTGTTCCCAGCTCTGATAGTGCCTGGGACCAGACCAGAGGGGAATGACGATGGTATCTGGTGGCCACCATCTGGAATCCGAAGGTGGATTTCAAGTGGGCTAATGTTCGTCCAGAAAAGCCATGGGTTGGGCTGGAGAACAGGACTGGAGGCATAGGCCAGGCCCCCTTTGTTCTCACTGACTGTGTGAATGTCACACATTCACGCACCTGCACCGTCCTCTGGGGCCACCCTGACCAACAGAATCTCTGAGAGCAGCTCGCCCGGAAATTTCCGTACACCTGCTACCCTCACAGCTGTGGCCACAGCAGCAGCTACATCTCTGGGCTGCAAAGAATAGTCTGGATTCTGTTGGTGCCATTAGATGAGCCTGGAGGAGGGGGCAACTGCAGGCTGGTAAGAGAACTGGGTCGGGGGAGTCTTTTGGATGGAAAGTGTGGTCTCTGCCCCAAAGTTCTCCCTTCAACAGGAATACCCCCCTCTCTCAGGCCACTGCAGTAAAGTGAAAGCTGAGCTCATCTCCCCCTGGACCTCAGCAGGTGCATGCTTCCCTCCTTCTGAACCCTGAAACCCTGCCCCTCATCTCTTGAAGACCAATGCCCACTTCCCTGTAGGGAGGTGTGGAGTTTGAGGATCTATTTTCTCCAGAAGCTTTCTTAGAGCCATAGGTACAGAGGAGTGAGATTCTGAGACTCTCCTGGGACCAAATTTTCTCTGTCTAGGGCCCACCCTGAGGCTGGAGCACCCTGGACAGCCACAGGAAGCACTGGGTAAACTCTCGAATCCATCTCCCCAAGGAGTCTAGGACTGAGCCTGGAACTCACTGCAGTGCCAGTCTTGGGTGGGTGGTATGGGTTCAGGGGGAGATCACAGATGACTGGCTGTCATCCCTCCTCACAGTTCCTGTGAAGCCCAGCACATATGAGTACAAAATATCCCTACTTGTCTTCTCCACAGCCTCTCCAGCCTCCATAATTCCTCCCCACCATGGGCAACAGACCACCTGCCTTCCCTCTCCTAATTGTGTCATTCCTGCAGCCACTCATTTCTCAGGTGACACCTCTGAGCTTTCCCAGTCTAATCAAGGTACCTCATATACCTCCACATTGCATGTCTTCCATCACCTCCAAGACAAGGCCTCCGTCCACCTCCTGGTAGTTCTTTTCTTCATCATCCTGCAGGCACTAAGGTACATTTTAAAAAATCCTTCAGGATTTGGCACAGAGCTATGGTCAATAACAGACAGTAAGGGACCACTTGCTTCTGTTCTCTGTGTTCCAGATCTCTAAGTAGGCACCAGCCAGAGATGGAGCAAGAGAAAGAGAAGAAGAGAGGAAAAGAGAGGGATGGGTGAGGGAGAAGAAGAGGAAGAGAGAGAGCAAGAGAAAGAGAGAATCAGCATGTCAGAGAAAGATGCCCTTCCTGTCTATGAGAAGTACAGGAGGAGGAGATGGGGATTTACCCCACCCAGAGAAGGAGGAATTTCTGAAGAGATTGGGGGTGGATTCTGCCCTATGCATCAAGAAACCAAGGGTAAGAGAGCAATCCGTCTGTAGCTGAATATAGGACCCTATCTCCTAGGGTGGCAATAATAGAGGAGAGGGGTATGAGAACTATATAAATTAATTAAAATTAAAGAAAGTTAAGTCAGGGGCCTGCTTGATGCTGCCTGAAATGGAACTCGACTGCCTCCAAGGAGCCTCTGGAACAAGAAAATTTCTGCAGAACTGGATTAATAGCTACTTTCCCATGCCTTAGCACTTACCCACACCATAAAGGGAAAACGGACCACAAAAGACACCTCATAAATGTCAAAGTTAATCCCAAATCCTTTCCCCCCAATACTCTAGTTCCCCATACCAGCAATTCTCACAGAAACTACGAACAGGTACAAGCTCCAACTCTAGAGATGGTTGACGTCTCTCTTCTTGCTTTTGTGAGGAGAGTCCATCACTCTGTCTCTAGGTGACTTTTTTTTTTTTCTTATTCTCTCTGATCAAAAAACTGACTTCCTCTTTAAAACTCTGTGCTGACTCACATCTTGAATTATTTCCTGCAAAACCAAGAACCCTCTCAGCTGGGGGCTGGAGTCCCTACTCGCCCCTTGACGTCAGCAAGGTGTCTGAGAAGGAGCCTATTCTGTTTATCCTCGGTTCCCAAACCTCTCCCAATTCCCCTATTGGAGTTTCACCAATGGGGGTCAGTGGAGGGCGCTCTTTTTTCCCCCCCAAGACACGCTCTCCAAATGGGAGCAGGCGCTGTCCTTGGTACTGAAGCAGGATAGGGACCAGAGTTTAAGAAAATGAATTAGAATTCAAGACTTACAAACTCAACTACATAAAATTTGGAGGCAAACCCAAGCCAAACTAGGTTAGAAGAAAATAATAAACTGGGCAAGGAAATTCACAATTGTATTACAGCCAATGATTGTATTTCCCAACATCACAAGAAATTATTCAAATCCTTAAAAAAAATACTGTATAAGCTAATCACGAAAAGATTAGATGAACCATCATTTCATAGAATGGCGGAACAGGATAGAATAAAAAATACTAGTGACTATGAAACCTATTCTAAAATGCTCACTGTCATACTCAACAAGAGGAATGCAAGTTAAAGCTACAGTGAGGTACAGTTTTCATTGGTAAGAATACAACGATCAAAGTGGTTGCTAACGCCCTCTGCTGTTGGGGTTGGAGTGAAACAGAGAGGCTAACTGCAGGGAAGTGGGGTGCAAACTGCTTCAACCTCTTGGAGAGCCATTGGCCATGTCTATCAAAATTAGAAATGCATGTGTCCTTTCATTGAGTAATTCAAATTCATACGGATACAAAATAGATGTACAACATTATTCATTGTAGTGTCATGTATAAGTAACCAAAGTTTTTTTCCTAATCAGTATGCCTTAGTTTAAAGTGTAATACATATATGCAGTGGAATGCTTTGCAGTTGTAAAAAAAAAACAAAAAACGATGAAGCTCTTTATCTACTAACATGGAAGGCTCCCCAAGAATAATTGTTAATTTAAAAATGGGATACAGCCCTGGCTAGTGTGACTTAGCAGACTGAGCGCTGGACTGCGAAGCAAGGGGTCACTGGTTCGATTCCCAGTCAAGGCACATGCCTGGGTTGTGGGCCAAGAAGTCCCTAGTAGGGGGTGTGCAAGAAGCAACCACACATTGATGTTTCTCTCCCTTTCTTTCTCCCTCCCTTCTCCTCTCTCTAAAAATAAACAAGTAAAATCTTTTAAAAAATAAAAATGAGCCCTGGCTGGTGTAGCTCAGTGGATTGAGCACAGGCCTGCGAACCAGACAATCGCGGTTCGATTCCCAGTCAGGGCACATGCCTGGGTTGCAGACCAGTTCCCTGCAGGCCAGTTCCCAGCAGGGGATGCATGAAAGGCAACCATACATTGATGTTTCTCTCCCTCTCTCCTTCCCCTCCCCTCTAAAGATAAATAAATATTTAAAAAAAGAACAAAAAAAAATGAGATACAGATCAATTTGTCTAGGATGTTTGTATCTCAAAGAATGCTCATACATTCACAAAAATGCTCACATAAAATCTATATTTATATCTACATATAGAGATAGATATATAAGTATCCTTATGTATGCATAAGCATCTCTGGATGAACACATCAGATACGGTTTAGAATGGATGACTCACATGAAGAAAACTAGGAATCTGGGATGGGGAGCAGAGGTGGAAGAGGTACTTTCTACTACATCCTCTTTTAAACCCTTTGAATATATGAGAGTATACAAATAAACTGCCTGGGGAAAATAATTATATTGAAAACTAAAGAGGCTGGGTGAAGAGATAGGATAAGAAGGCAATATCTGATGTTTAAATTTGGCTCTTGGGGAGGGAACTGAGAAGTTGAAGTCAGCTGCCAAAACAGAAGACCCCTCCAAGTGGTTCAGAGAAGTGAGAATGGAAAGTCCCTATAAGATTTGAGAAGAAGAAGGTCTTTGTCATGGTGGTGAGAAGCGGGACTGATAACAGTAGACAGAGGAGGTAGGGAGCTTCTAGTACCTGTACTTTGCATTTCTGATCTCAGCCCTCAAACCACACAAACCCCAAGACTTGGAGTCTGTTCTGAGGTGCAACAGACACCTTGTCCCTCCATCTGAGCCCTGCAGAGGAAGTTTTCTCCTTCTGTATTGTTTTCACAGAGGACACCCATGGTCAGGTTGTACGGAGCATCTGAATTCAGAAGACAACATGCCCTTCTGCAGTTTTGGAGTTAGTTTTAATTTTAGCATCTTCTTGGTTCCCCTCTGCTATCCAAAATCCAGGACTCATTTCCAAGTACCCCAGGCCCTGACTCTTTGCCACTACCCACAATGACCGACAAACCATGGTCCAGACTCACAGAAGACACTGAGTTCAATGGTTATTTCTGTGGTCACATGAGACCTCTGTAAGGCACCTGGCAGGTGATGTGGCTGTCATGGTGCCAGGGCCATGGGATGGTTGGCTGCAAAAACAGCACCAGGTGTTAGGCCTCAGCTCAGCAACCTCCGTTCTTGAGTTCTGGCTAAGAGAAGAACTCAGAGCCAAGACTCAAGTTCTAAGAAAAAGTTTATTTAGGGAGACACAGAAGTAGAAGTGAGCCGTAGAAGAAATGGGCTCAGAAGACAAGTTACAGACAGGTGCAAAAGCAGGGGCCCTTAGAGCTTAGAAGAAAGAAAGGCAAATAAAGTGCACCTGCAGGAGGAAGAAGAGAAAAGGGGGAAAGTCTGGGGGGTGTGCTCAGGGAAAGACCAAGAACCCCAAGGAAAGAAGAGGGTGGGGAAATGCACAGGGGTGCTTCATAGAGAGAGTAGTGCTGGGTTTTCCATCCTGAAGACTGTCCTCTGGAGGCCTCAGGAGAGGATCTCAGTGAATGCATTGGTCTTGAAGTCAGCCATGGTATTGCTGCTTTTCTGGGCCTGAAGCTGAAATGCAGCTGAAACCTGGACATTTTCTGTGGGGTTAATAGTTAAGGGAGTGGTCATGCAAGGGCTTGTGCTGTTGCCCATGGCTAGGAACCCAGGGCTCTTCACCCTGGTGACCCTCTGCACCTGGCCTGTATTTCCAACTCTGCTCATGCCTGTCTACAGGACGATGGTGATCTCTGATGAGTGAACTATCCCAGGACCCAGGCAGATATGTGTGTTCCATATTCATATTCAGAAGGTGAGGGACTGCCTCCAATCACCAGGTGTTGGCATGGAGCAAATTAGGGTCCCAGGATGGCCAGACTCCAGAGGTGCTGAGAGGTGAATGTCAGGTGTCTTGATGAGGGCTGGGAAGGATAGAGAAAGAAACCCAAGACATGGAGAGGGGATTTCAGGGCGTGACTCTGGAAGTGGCTTCTGCACCAGCCCCAAAGATACCACCCCTCTAAGCCTCAGGCTCCTGGGTACATCTACTCTCACTCTGATCCCCTGCGCTCTAAGTAGGGGCCCAGCCCAACTGTCACATTCAGAAAGAGACTTGAAACTGAACTTCACAACAGGCCCCCTCGTGGCAGGAAAGTTAGAAAAGGGAACAAAGGCCTCTGGGCCCTACCCCTCCCCTTTTCCGTCTTGGCTGGAACGTTGGAGAAGTGACTTTCACTGACCACCTGTTCCGTGCTTCCTTCTCTGCAATGTCTTGTAATTGAGGGGACCAAAAAGAAGAAGAAGGAGGAGGTGGAGGAAGAGGAGGAAGAAGAAAGAAACAAAGAAATGGAAGGAAGGGAAGGGAATGAATGAAGGGAAGAAAAGAAAAGAGAAAGAAATTGCTACCTGGAGAGGAGGGACAAGGATGAACCATGTCAGCAGTCCCAGTGTCAGAAGTGGGGAACCACCCTACTTGCCCCCCTTGCCCATGTTTAATAAAAACCTTCCATCCAGACCCCATTGGGGCATCTTGTTCTCTGAGGTCGCACCCTCTCACTTCTTGAGTGAGTAGTACCACTTTAATAAATGTACTGTGCTTTGCTAAATCCTTCTGTCGCACTCTCTAATCCTTTTTTAAAAATATATGTATATATTTTTAAAGATTTTATTTATATATCTTTAGAGGGGACAGGAAGGAGAGAGGGAGAGAAATATCAATGTATGGTTGCCTCTCGTGCATCCCCTGCTGGGAAATGACCTGCAACTGAGGCATGTGCCCTGACTGGGACTCGAACCGCAATCCTCTAGTTCGCAGGCCCACGCTCAATCCACTGAGCTACACCAGCCAGGGCTAATCCCTTTTTGAGTCATGACAAAACCTAGACTCCAGTATTAAGCTGAAGCCTCCCTTGGCCTCCCCCAAGTATCCCCCAGCACCACTTTCTCCAACAGAAATAAGTACACCCCGCCATCTTTCCTGCTGGCATCTCTGATGTTCAGGGAGCAGTTATTAGTCTGGGAGTTCCTGAAGATATGGAAGCTGCCCAGGGTTTTTTCTTACAGCTTTTGACCTGGTTTGTTTATTTGAGGGTCCTGATGTATATTGGCCCCTTCCAGGGACCAGAAGATGGAGGGTGGGTCCAAGTGATTCCGTCATTTGGGGGGTAGTGGGAGAAGGTACAGGGCACCAGGACATGCAAACTCTCCTGCATAGTGACTGACCCTGGCATCTGCAGCTCATACCCTGCATGCTTCTCCAGAGACACTGTGGAGAGCCCCACATTTAGCTCTGACTAAAGCTTCCCCCACCCTTCTGTGCCCTGGCCCACTCAACTTCCCATTGCAAGGACAGTGGTAGAGCAGGGGTGACATCTCTGAGACTGGGGGCCCTATTCAGAACCCCTTTACGCCATCTGATTAGCACTTCCTGGCACACATCTGGCACCTATTTCTAACCCTTTGCCTCAAATCCTTCTCTTCAACAGGAATCCCCCAAACCACTGCAGGGGGAGCAAAGGTTAAGCCTAATTCACCCTGAGGATACTTCAGAAGTGGGCTTTCTGAAAGTGATACTTTCACTTCCCCCTACACAGACCCCACCACCTTTTGCCCCTGGAAATCCTTCTCTACCTTCCCTCAGGAGAACCAGGAATTTGAGTAATTCTTGCCCCATGCAGGGGATTCACCTGGGACCAAATATTCCCATGCCATACTCATCCTCAGCTCAGGTCTGAGGCATGCATGGAGCCTTGTGAAGCGCTGGCCATATAACTCCCAAACTCCTCTTGTTCCTGTGTCCAATGCTTCAAAACAAAGACCAGTATTTAATAGATCAGAGTTTGGAATGTCATGTAAGAATTGTCCAGACATAAAACAATTTTTTTTGTTTATTTAAGCCAAACTGACAACAATTTCCAGGAAGCAAAAGCTCAATGGACTGAGGAAATGCTCCAGAGAATGGCAGCTTTGCAGTTGTTTTATACATTAAAATCGAAGGAGGAGGCATAAGGTGGGTTACATAAAATCCATTGGTGGTAGACTATGGAGGTAGGAGAAAGCAAAGCAGAGAAATCTTTGAGATTAGATTAGGAGTAAAATAAAGAGACACCTGTCTGGTGTGCCTCAGTGGACTGAGTGCTGGCCTGTGAACCAAAGGGTCAACAGTTTGATACCCAGTCAGGGCACATGCCTGGGTTTCGGGCTAGGTCCCCAGTAGGGGGCACATGAGAGGCAACCCTACACTGATATTTCTCTTCCTCTCTTTCTCCCTCCCTTCCCCTGTTTCTATAAATAAATAAATAAATAAATAAATCATCTTAAAAAAAGAGACAAATACTTCCTTTATATTGGTGGGTATAGGATAGTTAACAACTAACATTCGCAGCACATAGAGTTGGTATTTGGGCAGCAGGATAACCATAAGGGGTTCTCGGTCTCTTGCCCTGGTGGGAAGATTGTGCTCTGAAGGGAATGGAAAAAAGGGGTCTTGCATTTCAAAGGTATGTTATCATAGATGCAAAAAGACAATAGACAAGCTCACTTAAGATAAAGATTGGCCTAGGCCAAAAAAGATATCAGCATAGGACATGACTACCCACCATGACTCACTTTTAGATAAGAAGTCTTATTTTTAAAGAATCCTATGTGATTACTTTAGACCTCTGAGCTTGTAAGACCACCATGCTGGCCTCTCCTGAGCTTGCCAGGTTTAGTATGTGGCCCCTTTTCACCCACAGGTTCAAGGAAAAGCCTGCCTCATAGACCCTCCTTGGATTTCCCACAAGCTGTACCTTTGTAGTGTGGTTTTGGTCTCCCAGAGAGGACCAAGACAGC